CTCTGGGTCGTTCTTCGTGCTTTTGGAGTACCTGACCCTCTGCTCACGATCATTAAGGACCTTCATGATGGTGAGCGGGCCCGGGTAAAACTACGTGGCCGGGAGTCAGAGCCATCCCCTGTACACCTTGGGGGTGCGACAGGGATGTCCTCTGGCTCCCACATTATTTATCATCTATTTTGACCACGTAGTTCGTGAAGCCTTCAATAGCTGTACCGGGGGAATCTCCATATGGTACAGATATAATGGGAGGCTAATCGATGCCCGGGTGCGGTCAAGGGATGGCTCCCTATTGCTCAACCACGTTATGTATGCTGATGACTTGGTAATAGCTGCTCAGTCAGAGGAGGAGTTGGAGACGCTGCTGCTGAGACTGGAGCGTGCCACTAAGAGGTGGGGCCTTACCATCAGCCCCACCAAAACTAAGCACCTGCCTGGGTATTTTGTACCATCGGACACTCCGCCCCCACAACTCCCAATCGGTGATGGGGCAGTTGTGGAGAGAGTGGAGAGTTTCCCATACCTGGGCAGTGTGCTTATGACTGGCTCCAGTTTAACAGCAGAGGTCTCACTCCGAATCAGTCGAGCGGCAATATCTTTTCATCGGTTGCGTAACGCTGTGTGGAAGCTACCTGGTCTGTCGCTCCGCACTAAGCTTCAGGTCTTCTCGGCCACGGTCATTCCTCCCTTCTCTACGCTTGCGAAACGTGGACCCCCCTAATGGAACATCTTCGCCGGTTAGAAACATTTAGGCTGGCCTGCCTACGATCCATCCTGGGTTTAACCAGACTGGATTGTGTGAGGAGCTCACAAATCCTTGAAAGATCTGGGCAGGGGTCCCATCGGTGAGCTCCTCCGGCAGGCAAGGCTGCGATGGCTGGGTCATGTAGCCAGCATGCCCAGCCACCGCATGCCGAAACAGCTTTTGTTTGGCCGGATTGAGGGGGCTAAGCGGGCGCGCACGGGCTAGAGAAGAGATGGAGTGATGTGGTACAGGAGGACGTGGAGCTGAGTGGACTTGCCGATGACTGGTACCAGCGGTGTCAAGATCGGCCTCTGTGGAGGAGGCTCGTGAAGGGATGCTACTAGGCAGTTGGAGGCAGTCGCCCTCCAACAACAACGGAGGGCGGAGGAGCGACGCTCACAACAGCGAGCGGAGCGTCGGGTGGCTAAAGCACAGCAGGGTTGGCACAGTAGGGGGCACAGGTGGTGGCATCAGCCAGTCATCTCAGTCAGTCGACCCGTGGCACCTGGGTCTGCCCGTGACCTCCTGCCAGCGGGGCGTTCGACACTTCACGTGGCCTCAAGGTGCACATAGCATGACACAAGCGTCATGGTGACGTCACTGCCACTTAGTGGCGAATGGCGGTTGTTGTTGTATCACTGTGTGTGTGGTGTCACTGTGGTGTGTGTGTGTTGTGTGTGGGTCGGTGTGTGTGGGTGTGTCTGCTTTATTGACCTGGTCAAGGCCTATGATACCATCAGTAGGCCCTGGGCTCTGGGTTGTTCTTCGTGCTTTTGGAGTACCTGACCCTCTGCTCACGATCATTAAGGACCATCATGATGGTGAGCGGGCCCGGGTAAAAACTACGTGGCCGGGAGTCAGAGCCATTCCCTGTACACCTTGGGTGCGACAGGGATGTCCTCTGGCTCCCACATTATTTAACATCTATTTTGACCCCGTAGTTCGTGAAGCCTTCAATAGCTGTACCGGGGGAATCTCCATATGGTAGAGATATAATGGGAGGCTGATCGATGCCCGGGTGCGGTCAAGGGATGGCTCCCTATTGCTCAACCACGTTATGTATGCCGATGATTTTGTAATAGCTGCTCATTCAAAGGAGGAGTTGGAGACGCTGCTGCTGAGACTGGAGCGTGCCACTAAGAGGTGGGCCCTTACCATCAGCCCCACCAAAACTAAGCACCTGCTTGGGTATTTTGTACCATCGGAGACTACACCCCACAACTCCCAATCGGTGATGGGCAGTTGTGGAGCGAGTAGAGAATTTCCCATACCTGGGCAGTGTGCTTATGACCGGCTCCAGTTTAACAGCAGAGGTCTCACTCCGAATCAGTCGAGCGGCAATATCTTTTCATCGGTTGCGTAACGCTGTGTGGAAGCTACCTGGTCTGTCGCTCCGCACTAAGCTTCAGGTCTTCTCGGCCACGGTCATTCCCTCCCTTCTCTACGCTTGCGAAACGTGGACTCCCCTAATGGAACATCTTCGCCGGTTAGAAACATTTAGGCTGGCCTGCAAACGATCCATCCTGGGTTTAACCAGACTGGATTGTGTGAGGAGCTCACAAATCCTTGAAAGATCTGGGCAAGGTCCCATCAGTGCAGCTCCTCCGGCAGGCAAGGCTGCGATGGCTGGGTCATGTAGCCCGCATGCCCAGCCACCACATGCCGAAACAGCTTTTGTTCGGCCGGATTGAGGGGGTTAAACGGGTGCGGCACGGGCTAGAGAAGAGATGGAGGGACGTGGTACAGGAAGACGTGGAGCTGAGTGGACTTGCCGATGACTGGTACCAGCGGTGTCAAGATCGGCCTCTGTGGAGGAGGCTCGTGAAGGACGCTACTGGGCAGTTGGAGGTAGTCACCCTCCAACAACAACGGAGGGCGGAGGAACCACGCTCGCAACAACGAGCGGAGCGCCGGGTGGCTAAAGCACAGCAGGTTGGCACAGTAGGGGGCACAGGTGGTGCATCAGCCAGTCATCTCAGTCAGTCGACCCGTGGCACCTGGGTCCTGCCCCGTGATCTCCTGCCAGCGGGCGTTCGACACTTCACGTGGCCTCAAGGTGCACATGGCCTGGCACAAGCGTCGTGGTTACGTCACCGCCACTTAGTGGCGAATGGCGGTTGTTGTTGTGCCTGTGTGTGTCTGTGTGTGCGTGTGTGTGTCTGTGTGTGGGGAGCGGTAGTGGTAGTGGTTAGCGCTACGCTGCGCTACGAACCCAGCGACCCCAGTTCGCTTCCCGCTCACGGCCAACACCACCAGTGACGATTATCTGAACCGGTCCCGGGCCTCCCCTAGGTCGACTCAGCCTCAAATGAGTACCTGGTGCGGTGTGTAAACATCGCCACTAGGGAGACAAAGGCGGTCGGGGTGGTGCTGGTCACCCACCCCTTCGTGTACCGTTCCGGCCTTCATAGGTGCTCGCTAACAGCACTTGCCCCTACAGTCTGTTAAGGCTATATGGGGGATCTTTGTCTTTTGTCTGTGTGTGCGTGTGTCTGTGTTTCTGTGTGTCTGTGTGTGTGTCTGTGTCTCCACCCCCACAACTCCCAATCGGTGATGGGGCAGTTGTGGAGAGAGTGTAGAGTTTCCCAAACCTGGGCAGTGTGCTTATGACTGGCTCCAGTTTAACAGCAGAGGTCTCACTCCAAATCAGTCGAGCGGCAATATCTTTTCATCCGTTGCATAACGCTGTGTGGAAGCTACCTGGTCTGTCGCTCCGCACTAAGTTTCAGGTCTTCTCGGCCACGGTCATTCCCTCCCTTCTCTACGCTTGCGAAACGTGGACCCCCCTAATGGAACATCTTCGCCGGTTAGAAAAATTTAGGCTGGCCTGCCTACGATCCATCCTGGGTTTGACCAGGCTGGATTGTGTGAGGAGCTCACAAATCCTTGAAAGATCTGGGCAAGGTCCCATCGGTGAGCTCCTCCGGCAGGCAAGGCTGCGTTGGTGGGTCATGTAGCCCGCATGCCCAGCCACCACATGCCGAAACAGCTTTTGTTGGGCCGGATCGAGGGGGCTAAATGGGCGCGGCACGGGCTAGAGAAGAGATGGAGTGATGTGGTACATGAGGACATGGAGCTGAGTGGACTTGCCGATGACCGGTACCAGTGGTGTCAAGATCGGCCTCTGTGGAGGAGGCTCGTGAAGGACGCTGCTGGGTTAGTGCCAGGCTAGGTGCACCTTGAGGCTACTGGGCAGTTGGAGGCAGTCGCCCTCCAACAACAACAGAGGGCAGAGGAGCGACGCTCACAACAACGAGCGGAGCGCCGGGTGGCTAAAGCACAGCAGGTTGGCACAGTAGGGGGCACAGGTGCTGCATCAGCCAGTCATCTCAGTCAGTCGACCCGTGGCACCTGGGTCTGCCCCGTGACCTCCTGCCAGGAGGCGTTCGACACTTCAAGTGGCCTCAAGGTGCACATGTCCTGGCACAAGCGTCGTGGTGATGTCACCGCCACTTAGTGGCGAACGGCGGCTGTTGTTGTGTGTGTGTGTCTGTGTGTGTGTGTAGTGGTGACTGTGTGTGTGTGTAGTGGTGACTGTGTGTGTGTGTCTGTGTGTGTGTCTGTGTGTGTGTCTGTGTGTGTGTGTAGTGGTGACTGTGTGTGTAGTGGTGACTGTGTGTGTGTGTCTGTGTGTGTGTCTGTGTGTGTGTCTGTGTGTGTGTGTAGTGGTGACTGTGTGTGTGTGTAGTGGTGACTGTGTGTGTGTGTCTGTGTGTGTGTCTGTGTGTGTGTGTAGTGGTGACTGTGTGTGTGTGTCTGTGTGTGTGTCTGTGTGTGTGTCTGTGTGTGTGTCTGTGTGTGTGTCTGTGTGTGTGTGTAGTGGTGACTGTGTGTGTGTGTGTCTGTGTGTGTGTCTGTGTGTGTGTCTGTGTGTGTGTGTGCGGTTGTTTTTAGGGCATCACCTTTGAACCCCTCCCACCAAGAACACCTGGGCGAGGAGAAGAGGAGCGAGAGACGTGGGGTGGGCGAGGAGGTGGGTGGGCGACGAGGTGGGTGGGTGGGCGAGGAGGTGGGTGGGTGGGCGAGGAGGTGGGTGGGTGGGCGAGGAGGTGGGTGGGTGGGCGAGGAGGTGGGTGGGCGAGGAGGTGGGTGGGCGAGGAGGTGGGTGGGTGGGCGAGGAGGTGGGTGGCGACGAGGTGGGTGAGCGAGGAGGTGGGTGGGCAAGGAGGTGGGTGGGTGGGCGAGGAGGTGGGTGGGTGGGCGAGGAGGTGGGTGGGTGGGCGAGGAGGTGGGTGGGTGGGCGAAGAGGTGGGTGGGTGGGCGAGGAGGTGGCAGGCGAGTGTGACGATGCGGGAGACCCCGGGACTCCAGCCCCGCGCCCGCACGGCGCTCCTCCTGACCCTGGCGCTGACCCTGGCGCTGACCTTGGCCCTGACCTTGGCCGTGACCCTGGCGGCCATCCTGGCCGGGGAGCTGCGCTCGCTGCGTCTCGAGTTGGGGGCCCTCAGGGCACAGGTGGGGGGCCTGGGGGAGCGGCTGGGGGGCTCACCCCAGGGTGCCCGGGGCGGTGGCGGGGGTCAAGGGGTCACGGACGATGCCACGGTGAGTTGGGTCTAGGCGCTTGATTTGTGTGGTGGGGAGCGGTGGTGCAGCGGTTAGCGCACTGTGTGTGTGTGGGGAGCGGTGGTGCAGCGGTTAGCGCTACGCTGCGCTACGAACCCGGCGACCCGAGTTCGATTCCCGCTCTCACGGCCACCAACACCGCCGGTGACGATTATCTGAACCGGTACCTGGGCCTCCCCTAGGTCGACTCGGCCTCAAAATGAGTACCTGGTGTAGCGGTGTGTAGTAAACATCGCTAGAACTGGGGAGACAAAGGCGGCCGGGCGTGGTGCTGGTCACCCACCCCCTCGTGTGCCACAGTGCCGGTAAGCCTTCACAGCTGCTTCTCGCTAACAGCACTTGCCCCTACAGCCTGTTAGAGGCTACACGGGGGATCTTTGTCTGTGTGTCTATAGGTGCTGCTCGCTACTAACAGCACTTGCCCCTACAGTCTCTTAGAGGCTACACGGGGGACCTTTGTCTTTACCTTTGTACGTTGTATGCACGTTCAACTTTTTTCACACCGTATGTAACCAACCGTGCTGTGTGTGTGTGATGGTGGTGTTGATGGTGATGTTGATGGTGTTGATGTTGATGGTGTTGATGTTGTTGATGTTGATGGCGGTGATGTTGATGGTGATGTTGTTGATGGTGATGTTGTTGATGGTGATGTTGTTGATGTTGATGGTGGTGATGTTGATGGTGTTGATGTTGGTGGTGATGTTGATGATGGTGATGTTGATGGTGATGTTGATGGTGGTGATGTTGATGGTGGTGATGTTGATGGTGATGTTGATGGTGATGTTGATGGTGTTGATGTTGATTGTGATGTTGATGGTGGTGATGTTGATGGTGGTGATGTTGATGGTGGTGTTGATGGTGTTGATGTTGATGGTGTTGATGTTGATGGTGATGTTGATGGTGGTGATGTTGATGGTGGTGATGTTGATGGTGATGATGTTGATGGTGATGTTGATGGTGATGTTGATGGTGTTGATGGTGATGTTGATGGTGTTGATGGTGATGTTGATGGTGGTGATGTTGATGATGATGTTGATGGTGATGTTGATGATGATGTTGATGGTGGTGATGTTGGTGGTGATGTCGATGGTGTTGATGGTGATGTTGATGGTGGTGATGTTGATGATGATGTTGATGGTGATGTTGATGATGATGATGTTGATGGTGGTGATGTTGATGGTGATGTTGATGGTGTTGATGGTGGTGATGTTGATGATCATGTTGATGGTGATGTTGATGGTGTTGATGGTGGTGATGTTGATGGTGATGTTGATGGTGTTGATGGTGATGTTGATGATGATGTTGATGGTGATGTTGATGGTGATGTTGATGATGATGTTGATGGTGATGTTGATGGTGATGTTGATGGTGATGTTGATGGTGATGTTGATGGTGATGTTGATGGTGTTGTTGATGGTGATGTTGATGATGTTGATGGTGGTGATGTTGATGGTGATGTTGATGGTGATGTTGATGTTGATGGTGGTGATGTTGATGGTGATGTTGATGTTGTTGATGGTGATGTTGTTGATGTTGATGGTGATGTTGATGGTGGTGATGTTGATGGTGATGTTGCTGATGGTGATGTTGCTGATGGTGATGTTGATGATGATGTTGATGGTTATGTTGATGGTGTTGATGTTGATGATGGTGATGTTGATGATGATGTTGATGATGATGTTGATGGTGTTGATGGTGATGTTGATGATGATGATGTTGATGGTGATGTTGATGTTGATGATGATGTTGATGGTGTTGATGGTGATGTTGATGGTGGTGATGTCCCCATGATGATGATGTTGATGGTGATGTTGATGGTGGTGATGGTGATGTTGATGGTGATGTTGATGGTGTTGATGGTGATGTTGATGGTGTTGATGGTGATGTTGATGGTGATGTTGATGATGTTGATGATGATGTTGATGATGTTGATGATGATGTTGATGATGATGTTGATGATGATGTTCATGGTGATGTTGATGATGGTGATGTTGATGATGTTGATGATGATGATGATGTTGATGGTGGTGCTGTTGATGATGATGTTGATGGTGTTGATGATGGTGATGTTGCTGATGGTGATGGTGATGTTGATGATGATGCTGATGATAATGATGTTGATGGTGTTGATGTTGATGATGGTGATGTTGCTGATGGTGATGGTGATGTTGATGATGATGTTGATGGTGATGTTGATGGTGTTGATGTTGATGATGATGTTGATGATGATGATGTTGATGATGATGCTGCTGATGATGATGATGTTGTTGTGGCAGGCTGCTGCTGGCCCTGTGCTGCCGGCCCTATGTTGATGTTGATGATGGTGATATTGATGATGATGGTGATGTTGATGATGATGATGCTGATGATGATGATGTTGATGATGATGGTGATGTTGCTGATGGTGATGTTGATGATGATGCTGATGATAATGATGTTGATGGTGTTGATGTTGATGATGGTGATGTTGCTGATGGTGATGTTGATGATGATGTTGATGATGATGATGTTGATGATGATGTTGATGGTGATGTTGATGGTGTTGATGTTGATGATGATGTTGATGATGATGATGTTGATGATGATGATGATGTTGATGATGATAATGTTGATGATGATGTTGATGGTGTTGATGTTGATGATGATGTTGATGATGATGTTGATGATGATGTTGATGATGATGTTAATGATGATGTTGATGATGATGATGATGTTGCTGATGGTGATGATGATGATGTTGTTGGTGCTGATGTTGATGATGGTGTTGATGGTGATGTTGATGATGATGGTGATGATGATGGTGCTGATGTTGATGATGATGTTGATGATGTTGATGATGATGGTGTTGATGATGTTGATGATAATGGTGATGTTGATGATGGTGTTGATGATGATGATGATGTTGATGGTGTTGATGTTGATGAGGATGATGATGTTGATGATGATGATGATGTTGCTGATGTTGCTGATGGTGATGTTGATGATGTTGTTGATGATGTTGTTGATGATGATGGTGATGTTGATGATGATGATGTTGCTGATGATGATGATGATGTTGCTGATGATGATGATGTTGCTGATGTTGATGATGGTGTTGATGTTGATGGTGATGTTGATGATGATGTTGCTGATGATGATGATGATGTTGGTGATGTTGATGATGATGATGTTGATGATGATGTTGTGGCAGGCTGCTGCTGGCCCTGTGTTGCCGTCTCGATGGTGATGATGTTGCTGATGATGATGTTGGTGATGTTGATGATGATGATGATGTTGATGATGATGTTGATGGCAGGCTGCTGCTGGCCCTGTGTTGCCGTCTCGATGGTGATGATGTTGATGATGATGCTGATGATGATGTTGATGGCAGGCTGCTGCTGGCCCTGTGCTGCCGTCTCGATGGTGATGATGATGATGTTGCTGATAATGTTGATGTTAATGTTGTTGGTGATGTTGATGGTGATGTTGATGATGTTGCTGATGATGGTGATGATGATGATGTTGATGATGATGTTGTTGATGGTGTTGATGATGTTGTTGTTGTGGCAGGCTGCTGCTGGCCCTGTGCTGCCGTCCCTAATGTTGATGATGATGTTGATGATGATGCTGCTGATGATGATGTTGTTGTTGTGGCAGGCTGCTGCTGGCCCTGTGCTGCCGGCCCTATGTTGATGTTGATGATGGTGATATTGATGATGATGGTGATGTTGATGATGATGATGCTGATGATGTTGATGATGATGGTGATGTTGATGATGTCCCCATGATGCTGATGATGATGTTGTTGGTGATGGCAGGCTGCTGCTGGCCCTGTGCTGCCGGCCCTAATGGTGATGATGATGTTGATGATGATGTTGTTGATGATGGTGATGATGATAATGATGATGATGTTGATGGTGATGATGTTGATGATGCTGATGATGATGATGTTGATGATGATGATGTTGATGGCAGGCTGCTCGTGGCCCTGTGCTGCCGGCCCTAATGGTGATGATGATAATGGTGATGATGATGATGTTGATGATGTTGATGATGTTGATGATGATGTTGATGATGTTGATGATGATGATGATGTTGATGATGATGATGTTGTGGCAGGCTGCTGCTGGCCCTGTGCTGCCGGCCCTAATGGTGATGATGATGATGTTGATGATGATGATGCTGATGATGATGTTGTTGATGCTGATGATGTTGTGGCAGGCTGCTCATGGCCCTGTGCTGCCGGCCCTAATGGTGATGATGATAATGATGGTGATGATGTTGATGATGATGTTGATGGTGATGATGCTGATGATGATAATGTTGATGATGATGATAATGTTGATGATGATGTTGATGGCAGGCTGCTCATGGCCCTGTGCTGCCAGCCCTAATGGTGATGATGATAATGATGATGTTGATGTTGATGATGTTGATGATGATGATGTTGTTGGTGATGGCAGGCTGCTGCTGGCCCTGTGCTGCCGGCCCTAATGGTGATGATGTTGATGTTGATGATGATGATGCTGATGATGATGTTGTTGATGCTGATGATGTTGTGGCAGGCTGCTCGTGGCCCTGTGCTGCCGGCCCTAATGGTGATGATGATGATGTTGATGATGATGATGCTGATGATGATGTTGTTGATGCTGATGATGTTGTGGCAGGCTGCTCGTGGCCCTGTGCTGCCGGCCCTAATGGTCCCAGTCCGATCGCGTCGGAGCCCGGCAGGGGAAGGGAAGCGATCTAAGAAGAGTGAGTTTACATACGGTACTATACATAGTCATATATATAGTCCTATATATAGTACCATATATAGTACTATATATAGTACTATATATAGTACTATGTATAGTACTATATATAGTACTATATATAGGACTATATATAGAGAAACGGTGTAGACACAGAGACACGGTGTAGACACAGATACACAGAGACACGGTGTAGACACAGAGACACGGTGTAGACACAGAGACACAGAGACACGGTGTAGACACAGAGACACAGAGACACGGTGTAGACACAGAGACACGGTGTAGACACAGAGACACAGAGACACAGAGAGACAGAGACACGGTGTAGACACAGAGACACAGAGACACAGAGACACGGTGTAGACACAGAGACACAGAGACACGGTGTAGACACAGAGACACAGAGACACAGAGACACGGTGTAGACACAGAGACACAGAGACACGGTGTAGACACAGAGACACGGTGTAGACACAGAGACACGGTGTAGACACAGAGACACGGTGTAGACAGAGACACGGTGTAGACACAGAGACACGGCGTAGACACAGAGACACGGTGTAGACACAGAGACACGGTGTAGACACAGAGACACAGAGACACAGTGTAGACACAGAGACACGGCGTAGACAGAGACACGGTGTAGACACAGAGACACAGAGGCACGGTGTAGACACAGAGACACAGAGACACGGTGTAGACACAGAGACACGGTGTAGACACAGAGACACAGAGACACAGATACACAGAGACACGGTGTAGACACAGAGACACGGCGTAGACACAGAGACACAGAGACACGGTGTAGACACAGAGACACAGAGACACGTTGTAGACACAGAGACACGGTGTAGACACAGAGACACGGTGTAGACACAGAGGTACAGAGACACAGAGACACGGTGTAGACACAGAGACACGGTGTAGACACAGAGACACAGAGACACGGTAGAGACACAGAGACACGGCGTAGACAGAGACACGGTGTAGACACAGAGACACGGCGTAGACACAGAGACACGGTGTAGACACAGAGACACGGTGTAGACACAGAGACACAGAGACACGGTGTAGACACAGAGACACGGCGTAGACAGAGACACGGTGTAGACACAGAGACACAGAGGCACGGTGTAGACACAGAGACACAGAGACACGGTGTAGACACAGAGACACGGTGTAGACACAGAGACACAGAGACACAGATACACAGAGACACGGTGTAGACACAGAGACACGGCATAGACACAGAGACACAGAGACACGGTGTAGACACAGAGACACAGAGACACGTTGTAGACACAGAGACACGGTGTAGACACAGAGACACGGTGTAGACACAGAGACACAGAGACACAGTGTAGACACAGAGACACGGTGTAGACACAGAGACACGGTGTAGACACAGAGACACGGTGTAGACACAGAGACACGGTGTAGACACAGAGACACGGAGACACGGTGTAGACACAGAGACACAGAGACAGGGTGTATGCACAGAGACACAGAGACACGGTAGAGACACAGAGACACAGAGACACAGAGACACGGTGTAGACACAGAGACACGGTGTAGACACAGAGACACAGAGACACGGTGTAGACACAGAGACACGGTGTAGACACAGAGACACAGTGTAGACACAGAGACACAGAGACACGGTGTAGACACAGAGACACGGTGTAGACACGGAGACACGGCGTAGACACAGAGACACGGCATAGACACAGAGACACGGTGTAGACACAGAGACACAGAGACACGGCATGGACACAGAGACACGATGTAGACACAGAGACACAGAGACACGGTGTAGACACAGAGACACGGTGTAGACACAGAGACACGGTGTAGACACAGACACAGAGACACGGTGTAGACACAGAGACACGGTGTAGACACAGAGACACGGTGTAGACACAGAGACACAGAGACACGGTGGAGACACAGAGACACAGAGACACGGTGTAGACACAGAGACACGGTGTAGACACAGAGACACAGAGACACAGAGACACGGTGTAGACACAGAGACACGGGGTAGACACAGAGACACGGTGTAGACACAGAGACACAGAGACACGGTGTAGACACAGAGACACAGAGACACGGTGTAGACACAGAGACACAGAGACACAGAGACACGGTGTAGACACAGAGACACAGAGACACAGAGACACGGTGTAGACACAGAGACACGGTGTAGACACAGAGACACAGAGACACGGTGTAGACACAGAGACACAGAGACACGGTGTAGACACAGAGACACGGTGTAGACACAGAGACACAGAGACACGGTGTAGACACAGAGACACAGAGACACGGTAGAGACACAGAGACACAGTGTAGACAGAGAGACACGGTGTAGACACAGAGACACAGAGACACGGTGTAGACACAGAGACACAGAGACACGGTGTAGACACAGAGACACAGAGACACGGTAGAGACACAGAGACACAGTGTAGACAGAGAGACACGGTGTAGACACAGAGACACAGAGACACGGTGTAGACACAGAGACACAGAGACACGGTGTAGACACAGAGACACAGAGACACGGTAGAGACACAGAGACACAGTGTAGACAGAGAGACACGGTGTAGACACAGAGACACAGAGACACAGAGACACGGTGTAGACACAGAGACACAGAGACACGGTGTAGACACGGAGACACAGAGACACAGAGACACGGTGTAGACACAGAGACACGGCGTAGACACAGAGACACAGAGACACGGTGTAGACACAGAGACACAGAGACACGGTGTAGACACAGAGACACGGTGTAGACACAGAGACACGGTGTAGACACAGAGACCCAGAGACACAGAGACACGGTGTAGACACAGAGACACGGTGTAGACACAGAGACACAGAGACACGGTGTAGACACAGAGACACAGAGACACGGTGTAGACACAGAGACACGGTGTATACACAGAGACACAGTGTAGACACAGAGACACGGTGTAGACACAGAGACACGGTGTAGACACAGAGACACGGCATAGACACAGAGACACAGAGACACGGCATGGACACAGAGACACAGTGTAGACACATAGACACAGTGTAGACACATAGACACGGTGTAGACACAGAGACACAGAGACACGGCATGGACACAGAGACACGATGTAGACACAGAGACACAGAGACAGGGTGTAGACACAGAGACACAGAGACACGGTGTAGACACAGAGACACAGAGACACAGAGACACAGAGACACGGTGTAGACACAGACACACGGTGTAGACACGGTGTAGACACAGAGACACGGCATAGACACAGAGACACGGTGTAGACACAGAGACACGGTGTAGACACAGAGACACGGTAGAGACACAAGACACAGAGACACAGAGACACGGTGTAGACACAGAGACACAGAGACACGGTAGAGACACAGAGACACGGTGTAGACACAGAGACACAGAGACACAGAGACACGGTGTAGACACAGAGACACAGAGACACGGTGTAGACACAGAGACACAGAGACACGGTGTAGACACAGAGACACAGAGACACGGTGTAGACACAGAGACACAGAGACACAGAGACACGGTGTAGACACAGAGACACAGAGACACGGTGTAGACACAGAGACACAGAGGCACAGAGACACGGTGTAGACACAGAGACACAGAGACACAGAGACACGGTGTAGACACAGAGACACAGAGACACGGTGTAGACACAGAGACACAGAGACACGGTGTAGACACAGAGACACAGAGACACGGTGTAGACACAGAGACACAGAGACACAGAGACACGGTGTAGACACAGAGACACAGAGACACAGAGACACGGTGTAGACACAGAGACACAGAGACACAACGCTGACTCTGTGTGTCTGTCCACAGAGACACAGAGCTACATTCACCTCAAACCCGGGCCAGTTCTCGACAGCAAAGGTGAGCACACATCATACACATCATAAACATCATCAACAACATCAACAACAACATTAACATCATCATCATAAACATCATCAACAACATCAACATCATCAACATCATAAACATCATCAACAACAACATCAACAACATCACCATCATCAACAACATCAACATCATCAACAACATCGTCAACAACATCATCAACAACATCGTCAACAACATCAACAACATCAACAACATCATCATCAACAACATCAACAACATCATCAACATCAACAACACCATCAACAACATCATCAACATCATAAACATCATCAACAACATCGTCAACAACATCATCAACATCGTCAACAACATCAACATCAACAACATCCTCATCATCAACAACATCAACAACATCAACAACATCGTCAACATCAACAACGTCAACATCATTATCACAACATCAACAACATGAACATCATCAACAACATCAACAATAACATCAACAACATCAACAACATCATAAACATCATCAACAACATCATCAACATCATAAACATCATCAACAACATCGTCATGATCATAAACATCAACATCAACAACATCGTCAACAACATCAACAACAACATCAACAACATCATCAACATCAACAACATCATCATCAACAACGTCAACAAGATCATCATCCTTAACAACATCATCAACATCATCAACCACATCATCATCATAAACATCATCAACAACATCAACATCATCATCGTCAACATCATCATCAACATCATCAACAACAACATCATCATCAACATCGTCAACATGGTCAACATCATCATCAACATCATCAACATCATCATCAAGAACATCATCAACATCATCATCAAGAACATCGTCAACATGGTCGACATCATCAACATCGTCAACATCGTCAACAACATCATCAACAACATCAACATCATCAACATGGTCAGCAACATCAACATCGTCAACATCATCAATATCGTCAACATCGTCAACAACATCATCAACAACATCGTCATCGTCAACATCAACATCGTCAACAACATCGTCATCAACATCGTCAACATCGTCAACAACATCAACAACATCATCGTCAACATCATCAACATTATCATCAACATCATCATCATCGTCAACATCATCAACATCATCAACATGGTCAACATCATCAACATCATCATGAACATCATCAACATCGTCAACAACAACATCGTCAACATCGTCAACATCATCATGAACATCATCAACATGGTCAACATCATCAACATCATCATGAACATCATCAACATCGTCAACGTCAACATCGTCAACAACATCATCGTCAACATCGTCAACATTATCATCAACATCATCATCATTATCATCATCGTCAACATCGTCAACATCATCATCATGGTCAACAACATCAACATAGTCAACATCGTCAACATAGTCAACATCGTCATCATTATCAACATCATCAACATCATCATTATCAACATCATCAACATCATCGTCAACATCATCAACATCATCAACATGGTCAACATCATCAACATCATCATGAACATCATCAACATCGTCAACAACAACATCGTCAACATCGTCAACATCATTATGAACATCATCAACATGGTCAACATCATCAACATCATCATGAACATCATCAACATCGTCAACGTCAACATCGTCAGCAACATCATCGTCAACATCGTCAACATTATCATCAACATCATCATCATCGTCAACATCGTCAACATCATCATCATGGTCAACAACATCAACATAGTCAACATCGTCAACATAGTCAACATCATTATCATTAACAACATCATCATTATCAACATCATCAACATCATCATCGTCAACATCGTCAACATCATCATCAACATCGTCAACATTCCACGTGTCCACGTGTCTCCTCGTGTGTCTCCACGTGTCCCTGTGTGTCCCCGTGTGTCTCCATGTCCCCGTGTGTCCCCGTGTGTCTCCACGTGTCCACGTGTGTCTCCGTGTCTCCATGTCCCCGTGTGTCTCCATGTCCCCGTGTGTCCCCGTGTGTCTCCACGTGTCCACGTGTGTCTCCGTGTGTCTCCATGTCCCCGTGTGTCTCCATGTCCCCGTGTGTCCCCGTGTGTCTCCATGTCCCCGTGTGTCTCCATGTCCCCGTGTGTCTCTATGTCCCCGTGTGTCCCCGTGTGTCTCCATGTCCCCGTGTGTCTCCGTGTGTCTCCGTGTCTCCATGTCCCCGTGTGTCTCCATGTCCCCGTGTGTCTCCATGTCTCCGTGTATCTCCGTGTGTCTCCGTGTGTCTCCATGTCCCCGTGTGTCTCCATGTCCCCGTGTGTCTCCATGTCCCCGTGTGTCTTCATGTCCCCGTGTGTCTTCATGTCCCCGTGTGTCTCCATGTCCCCGTGTGTCTCCATGTCCCCGTGTGTCTCCATGTCCCCGTGTGTCCCCGTGTGTCTCCATGTCCCCGTGTGTCTCCGTGTGTCCCCGTGTGTCTCCATGTCCCCGTGTGTCTCCATGTCCCCGTGTGTCTCCATGTCCCCGTGTGTCTCCATGTCCCCGTGTCCCCGTGTGTCCCCGTGTCTCCCCGTGTGTCCCTGTGTGTCCCCGTGTGTCTCCATGTCTCCGTGTGTCTCCACGTGTGTCTCCGTGTCTCCCCGTGTGTCCCCGTGTCTCCCCGTGTGTCCCTGTGTGTCCCCGTGTGTCTCCATGTCCCCGTGTGTCTCCATGTCCCCGTGTGTCTCCGTGTCCCCGTGTGTCCCTGTGTGTCTCCACGTGTGTCTCCACGTGTGTCTCCACTTGTCTCCCTGTGTGTCTCCATGTCCCCGTGTCTCCCCGTGTGTCTCCATGTCCCCGTGTCTCCCCGTGTCTCCCCGTGTGTCTCCCCGTGTCTCCCCGTGTGTCTCCATGTCCCCGTGTTTCCCCGTGTGTCTCCATGTCTCCATGTCCCCGTGTCTCCCCGTGTCTCCCCGTGTGTCTCCATGTCCCCGTGTCTCCCCGTGTCTCCCCGTGTGTCTCCATGTCCCCGTGTCTCCCCGTGTCTCCCCGTGTGTCTCCATGTCCCCGTGTGTCCCCGTGTGTCTCCGCTCCAGACGACGAGACTCGCATTCAGTGGCAGCTGGGCCTCAAGAAGGGTGACGCTCTGAGCCTGCGGGAGAACGCGATCCACGTGCACGAACGTGGATCATACTTTATCTACAGCCAGGTGCAACCCACACGCAACCCACACGCAACCCACACGCAACCCACACGCAACCCACACGCAACCCACACGCAACTCACACGCAACTCACACGCAACTCACACGCAACTCACACGCAACCCACACGCAACTCACACGCAACTCGCACGCCACCCACACGCAACCCACACGCAACCCACACGCAACTCACACGCAACCCACACGCAACTCACACGCAACCCACACGCAACTCACATGGAACCCACACGCAACTCACACGCAACTCGCACGCCACCCACACGCAACCCACACGCAACCCACACGCAACTCACACGCAACCCACACGCAACTCACACGCAACCACCACGCAATCCACGTGCAACCTCCACGTGCAACCTACACCACCGTCATTCAATTTTCCGCCCGGCCTCGCACCGAAACTACCTCGCTAGCCCCTCCCCTAGCCCCTCCCCTACCCCCTTAGCTCCTCCCCTACCCCTTACCCTAGCCCCTCTCCTAGCCCCTCCCCTAGCCCCTCCCCTAGCCCCTCCCCTATCCCTTTCCCTAGCCCCTCCCCTACCCTAGCCCTTCCCCTACCCCCTTAGCCCCTCCCCTACCCCCTACCCTAGCCCTTCTCCTAGCCCGTCACCTAGCCCCTCCCCTACCCCCTTAGCCCCTCCCCTACCCCCTACCCTAGCCCCTCTCCTAGCCCGTCCCCTAGCCCCTCCCCTACCCCCTTAGCCCCTCCCCTACCCCCTACCCTAGCCCCTCTCCTAACCCCTCCCCTAGCCCCTCCCCTAGCCCCTCCCCTACCCCTTTCCCTAGCCCCTCCCCTACCCTAGCCCTTCCCCTACCCACTTAGCCCCTCCCCTACCCCCTACCCTAGCCCCTCTCCTAGCCCGTCCCCAAGCCCCTCCCCTACCCCTTTAGCCCCTCCCCTACCCTAGCCCCTCTCCTAGCCCCTCCCCTAGCCCCTCCCCTAGCCCCTCCCCTACCTCCTTAGCCCCTCCCCTACCCCCTACACTAGCCCCTCTCCTAGCCCCTCCCCTAGCCCCTCCCCTAGACCCTCCCCTACCCCTTTCCCTAGCCCCTACCCTAGCCCCTCCCCTACCCCCTTAGCCCCTCCCCTACCCCCTACCCTAGCCCCTCTCCTAGCCCCTCCCCTACCCCATTCCCTAGCCCCTCCCCTACCCTAGCCCCTCCCCTACCCCCTTAGCCCCTCCCCTACCCCCTACCCTAGCCCCTCTCCTAGCCCCTCCCCTAGCCCCTCCCCTACCCCCTTCCCTAGCCCCTCCCCTACCCTAGCCCTTCCCCTACCCCCTTCCCCTACCCTAGCCCCTCTCCTAGCCCCTCCCCTAGCCCCTCCCCTACCCTAGCCCCTCCCCTAGCCCCTCCCCTACCCCCTTAGCCCCTCCCCTACCCCCTACCCTAGCCCCTTCCCCTACCTTAGTCCCTCCCCTAGCCCCTCCCCTAGCCCCTCCCCTCCCCTACCCCCTCCGCTAGCCCCTCCCCTAGCCCCTCCCCTAGCCCCTCCCCTACCCCCTTCCCCTACCCTACCCCCTCCCCTAGCCCCTTCCCCTACCCCAGCCACTCTCCTAGCCCTTCCCCTACCCCCTCCCCTAGCCCTTCCCCTACCCTAGCCCCTCCCCTACCCCCTTAGCCCCTCTCCTACCCCCTTAGCCCCTCCCCTACCCCCTCTCCTAGCCCTTCCCCTAGCCCCTACCGCCTTCCCTAGCCCCTCCCCTACCCTAGCCCCTCCCCTACCCCCTTCTCCTCCCCTAGCCCATCTCCTAGCCCCTCCCCTAGCCCCTCCCCTAGCCCCTTCCCCTACGCTAGCGCCTTCCCTAGCCCCTCCCCTCCCATAGCCCCTCCCCTAGCCCCTCCCCTAGCCCCTCCCCTACCCTAGCCCCTCCGCTAGCCCCTCCCCTAGTCCCTCCCGTAGCCCCTCCCCTAGCCCCTCCCCTAGCCCCTCCCCTAGCCCCTCCCCTAGCCCCTTCCCCTACGCTAGCGCCTTCCCTAGCCCCTCCCCTCCCATAGCCCCTCCCCTCCCATAGCCCCTCCCCTAGCCCCTCCCATAGCCCCTCCCCTAGCCCCTCCCCTAGCCCCTCCCCTACCCTAGCCCCTCCCCTAGCCCCTCCCCTACTTCCTTCCCTACCCTAGCCCCTCCCCTACCCCCTTCCCCTACCCTAGCCCCTCTCCTAGCCCGTCCCCTACCCCCTTCCCCTACCCCCTCCCCTACCCTAGCCCCTCCCCTACCCTAGCCCCTCTCCTAGCCCCTCCCCTACCCCCTTCCCCTACCCTAGCCCCTCCCCTACCCTAGCCCCTCCCCTACCCCCTACCCACTCCCCTAACCCCTTCCCCTACCCCCTTCCCCTACCCTAGTCCCTCCCCTACCCCCTCCCCCTACCCTAGCCCCTACCCTACCCCCTCCCCCTACCCCCTCCCCTACCCTCTCCTCCTACCCCCTCCTCCTACCCCCTTCCCCTACCCCCTACCCTACCCCCTCCCCCTTCCCCTACCCCCTACCCTACCCCCTCCCCCTACCCCCTCCCCTACTCCCTCCTCCTACCCCCTCCTCCTACCCCCTTCCCCTACCCCTTCCCCTACCCCCTACCCTACCCCCTACCCCTTCCCTACCCCCTACCCTACCCCCTCCCTCTACCCCCTCCCTCTACCCCCTCCCCCTACCCCCTCCCCTACCCCCTACCCTACCCCCTCCTCTTACCCCCTCCCCTACCCCCTACCCTAGCCCCTCTCCTAGCCCCTCCCCTACCCCCTGCCCTAGCCCCTCCCCTACCCTAGCCCCTCCCCTACCCCCTTCCCCTACCCTAGCCCCTCTCCTAGCCCCTCCCCTATCCCCTACCCTAGCCCCTCCCCTAGCCCCTCCCCTACCCCTTCCCCTACCTTAGCCCCTCCCCTACCCTAACCCTCCCCTAGCCCCTCCCCTAGCCCCTCCCCTAGCCCCTCCCCTACCCCCTTTCCATACCCTAGCCCCTCCCCTAGCCCCTTCCCCTACGCTAGCGCCTTCCCTAGCCCCTCCCCTACCCTAGCCCCTCCCCTAGCCCCTCTCCTATCCCCTCCCCTAGCCCCTATCCTAGCCCCTCCCCTAGCCCCTCCCCTGCCCCCTACCCTAGCCCCTCCCCTAGCCCCTTTCCCTACGCTAGCCCCTCCCCTAGCCCCTCCCCTACCCTAGCCCCTTGCCTAGCCCCTACCCTAGCCCCTCCCCTACCCTAGCCCCTTCCCTAGCCCCTCCCCTACCCTAGCCCCTCGTCTAGCCCCTCCCCTACCCTAGCCCCTCGTCTAGCCCCTCCCCTACCCTAGCCCCTCGTCTAGCCCCTCCCCTAGCCCCTCCCCTAGCCCCTCCCCTACCCTAGCCCCTCCCTAGCCCCTCCCCTACCCCCTCCCCTACCCTAGCCCCTCCCCTACCCCCTTCCCCTACCCTAGCCCCTCTCCTAGCCCCTCCCCTAACCCCTTCCCCTACCCTAGCCCCTCCCCTACCCCCTCCCCTACCCTAGCCCCTCTCCTAGCCCCTCCCCTACCCCCTCCCCTACCCTAGCCCCTCCCCTAGCCCCTCCCCTACCCCTTTCCCCTACCCTAGCCCCTCCCCTACCCCCTCCCCTACCCTAGCCCCTCTCCTAGCCCCTCCCCTACCCCTTTCCCCTACCCTAGCCCCTCCCCTACCCCCGCCCCCTACCCTAGCCCCTACCCTACCCCCTCCCCCTCCTCCTACCCCCCTCCCCTACCCCCTCCTCCTACCCCCTACCCCTTCCCCTACCCCCTACGCTACCCCCTACCCCTACCCCCTACCCTACCCCCTCCCCCTACCCCCTCCTCTACCCCCTACCCTACCCCCTCCCCTACCCCCTCCTCCTACCCCCTTCCCCTACCCTAGCCTAGCCCCTCCCCTAGCCCCTCCCCTACCCCCTTCCCCTCCCCTACCCCCTCCCCTACCCCCTACCCTACCCCCTTCCCTTAACCCCTCCTCTAACCCCCCCTACTCCTCCCCTAGCCTCTCCCCCAACCCCTACCCCCTCCCCTACCCCCTCCCCTAGCCCGTCCCCTACCCCCTAGCCCGTCCCCTACCCCCTAGCCCGTCCCCTACCCCCTAGCCCGTCCCCTACCCCCTAGCCCGTCCCCTACCCCCTAGCCCGTCCCCTACCCCCTAGCCCGTCCCCTACCCCCTGCACTAAGCTGGACTTGGCCCAGGCTCTAGTTGAGGTTGTGACCCTGTGACCCCATAGTGGTGGTGGTGGCGGTGGTGGTGGTGGTGGCGGTGGTGGCGGTGGTGGTGGTGGTGGTGGTGGCGGTGGTGGCGGTGGTGTTGACCCTGCGGTGGTGGTGGTGTTGGTGGTGGTGGCGGTGGTGGTGGTGTTGTTGGTGGTGGTGATAGTGGTGGTGTTGACCCTGCAGTGGTGGTGGTGTTGACCCTGCGGTGGTGGTGGTGGTGGTGTTGACCCTGCGGTGGTGGTGATGTTGACCCTGTGGTGGTGGTGGTGGTGTTGACCCTGCGGTGGTGGTGGTGTTGGTGGTGGTGGCGGTGGTGGTGGTGTTGTTGGTGGTGGTGATAGTGGTGGTGTTGACCCTGCAGTGGTGGTGGTGTTGACCCTGCGGTGGTGGTGGTGTTGACCCTGCGGTGGTGGTGATGTTGACCCTGTGGTGGTGGTGGTGGTGTTGACCCTGCGGTGGTGGTGGTGTTGGTGGTGGTGGCGGCGGTGGTGGTGGTGTTGTTGGTGGTGGTGATAGTGGTGGTGTTGACCCTGCAGTGGTGGTGGTGTTGACCCTGCGGTGGTGGTGGTGGTGGTGTTGACCCTGCGGTGGTGGTGGTGGTGGTGTTGGTGTTGACCCTGCGGTGGTGTTGTTGGTGGTGTTGGTGAGCAGGTGCTGTTCAGTGACCCCACGTTTGTGATGGGTCACATCGTGAGGCGAGGGGCCCACAGCAAGGTGGCGCTGTTCCGCTGCATGCAGAACATGCCGGAGAAGGAGCCCAACAACTCCTGCTACACCGCCGGTGAGACGGAGACACGGAGACACGGCGCTAAAGACACGGTGGTAGAGACACAGAGACACGGTGGTGGAGACACAGAGACACAGAGACACGGTGGTAGAGACACAGAGACACGGTGGTGGAGACACAGAGACACGGTGGTGGAGACACAGAGACACAGAGACACGGTGGTAGAGACACAGAGACACGGTGGTGGAGACACAGAGACACAGAGACACGGTGGTGGAGACACAGAGACACGGTGGTGGAGACACAGAGACACAGAGACACGGTGGTAGAGACACAGAGACACGGTGGTGGAGACACAGAGACACAGAGACACGGTGGTGGAGACACAGAGACACGGTGGTAGAGACACAGAGACACAGAGACACGGTGGTGGAGACACAGAGACACGGTGGTAGAGACACGGTGGTGGAGACACAGAGACACAGAGACACGGTGGTGGAGACACAGAGACACGGTGGTAGAGACACAGAGACACAGAGACACGGTGGTGGAGACACAGAGACACGGTGGTAGAGACACGGTGGTGGAGACACAGAGACACAGAGACACGGTGGTGGAGACACAGAGACACGGTGGTGGAGACACAGAGACACAGAGACACGGTGGTAGAGACACAGAGACACGGTGGTAGAGACACAGAGACACGGTGGTAGAGACACAGAGACACGGTGGTGGAGACACAGAGACACAGAGACACGGTGGTAGAGACACAGAGACACGGTGGTAGAGACACAGAGACACGGTGGTGGAGACGCAGAGACACGGTGGTGGAGACACAGAGACACGGTGGTGGAGACACAGAGACACAGAGACACGGTGGTGGAGACACAGAGACACGGTGGTAGAGACACAGAGACACAGAGACACGGTGGTAGAGACACAGAGACACGGTGGTAGAGACACAGAGACACGGTGGTAGAGACACAGAGACACGGTGGTGGAGACACAGAGACACAGAGACACGGTGGTAGAGACACAGAGACACGGTGGTAGAGACACAGAGACACGGTGGTAGAGACACAGAGACACAGAGACACGGTGGTAGAGACACAGAGACACAGAGACACGGTGGTAGAGACACAGAGACACGGTGGTAGAGACACAGAGACACGGTGGTAGAGACACAGAGACACGGTGGTAGAGACACAGAGACACGGTGGTAGAGACACAGAGACACGGTGGCAGAGACACAGAGACACGGTGGTAGAGACACAGAGACACAGAGACACGGTGGTAGAGACACAGAGACACGGTGGTGGAGACACAGAGACACGGTGGTAGAGACACAGAGACACGGTGATAGAGACACAGAGACACGGTGATAGAGACACAGAGACATGGTGGTAGAGACACAGAGACACGGTGGTAGAGACACAGAGACACGGTGGTAGAGACACAGAGACATGGTGGTAGAGACACAGAGACACAGAGACACGGTGGTAGAGACACAGAGACACAGAGACACGGTGGTAGAGACACAGAGACACGGTGGTGGAGACACAGAGACACAGAGACACGGTGATAGAGACACAGAGACACAGAGACACGGTGGTAGAGACACAGAGACACGGTGGTAGAGACACAGAGACACAGAGACACGGTGGCAGAGACACAGAGACACGGTGGTAGAGACACAGAGACACAGAGACACGGTGGTAGAGACACAGAGACACGGTGATAGAGACACAGAGACACGGTGGCAGAGACACAGAGACACAGAGACACGGTGGGAGAGACACAGAGACACGGTGGTGGAGACACAGAGACACGGTGATAGAGACACAGAGACACGGTGGTAGAGACACAGAGACACGGTGATAGAGACACGGTGGTGGAGACACAGAGACACAGAGACACGGTGGTAGAGACACAGAGACACGGTGGTAGAGACACAGAGACACGGTGGTAGAGACACAGAGACACGGTGGTGGACACACAGAGACACAGAGACACGGTGGTAGAGACACAGAGACACAGAGACACAGAGACACAGAGACACGGTGATAGAGACACAGAAACACGGTGGTAGAGACACAGAGACATGTTGGTAGAGACACAGAGACACAGAGACACGGTGGTAGAGACACAGAGACACAGAGACACTGTGGTAGAGACACAGAGACACGGTGGTAGAGACACAGAGACACAGAGACACAGAGACACAGAGACACGGTGGTAGAGACACAGAGACACAGAGGCACGGTGATAGAGACACAGAGACACGGTGGTAGAGACACAGAGACACAGAGACACGGTGATAGAGACACAGAGACACGGTGGTAGAGACACAGAGACACGGTGATAGAGACACGGTGGTAGAGACACAGAGACACAGAGACACGGTGGTAGAGACACAGAGACACGGTGGTAGAGACACAGAGACACGGTGGTGGAGACACAGAGACACGGTGGTAGAGACACAGAGACACGGTGGTAGAGACACAGAGACACAGAGGCACGGTGGTGGAGACACAGAGACACGGTGGTAGAGACACAGAGACATGGTGGTAGAGACACAGAGACACGGTGGTGGAGACACAGAGACACAGAGGCACGGTGGTAGAGACACAGAGACACGGTGGTAGAGACACAGAGACACAGAGACACGGTGGTAGAGACACAGAGACACGGTGGCAGAGACACAGAGACACGGTGGTAGAGACACAGAGACAGAGACACGGTGGTAGAGACACAGAGACACAGAGACACGGTGGTAGAGACACAGAGACACGGTGGTGGAGACACAGAGACACAGAGACACAGAGACACGGTGGTAGGGACACAGAGACACAGAGACACGGTGGTAGAGACACAGAGACACAGAGACACGGTGGTAGAGACACAGAGACACAGAGACACGGTGGTGGAGACACAGAGACACGGTGGTAGAGACACAGAGACACAGAGACACAGAGACACGGTGGTAGAGACACAGAGACACGGTGGTAGAGACGCGGTGAGACAAGAGACGCGGTGAGACAAGAGACACGGTGAGACAGAGACACGGTTGATGTCTTTGTTATTGACGTTGTTGTTGACGTTGTTGTTGGCGACGTTGTTGTTGACGTTGTTAACTTTGTTGTTGCTGACTTTGATGTTAACTCTGTTGTTGTTGACTTTCTTGTTGTTGATGACGTTGTCGTTCATTGCGTTGTTGTTGATGATGACGTTTTCCTTGTTGTTGATGACGTTGACGTTGATTGCGTTGTTGTTGATGATGACGTTTTCCTTGTTGTTGATGACGTTGTCGTTGATTGCGTTGTTGTTGATGATGACGTTTTCCTTGTTGTTGATGACGTTGTCGTTGATTGCGTTGTTGTTGATGATGACGTTTTTCTTGTTGTTGATGACGTCGTTGTCGTTGATTGCGTTGTTGTTGATGATGACGTTTTTCTTGTTGTTGATGACGTCGTTGTCGTTGATTGCGTTGTTGTTGATGATGACGTATTTCTTGTTGTTGATGACGTCGTTGTTGTTGTTGTTAACCCCAGGAATGGCGGAGTTCAGTAGAGACGACGTGGTGGACCTGGTGATCCCACGTTGTTGTTGACGACATTGTTGTTGTTGTTGTTGGCGACATTGTTGTTGTTGACGACATTGTTGTTGTTGTTGTTGGCGACATTGTTGTTGTTGGCGACATTGTTGTTGTTGTTGTTGGCGACATTGTTGTTGTTGTTGTTGGCGACATTGTTGCTGTTGGCGACATTGTTGTTGTTGTTGTTGGCGACATTGTTGTTGTTGTTGTTGGCGACATTGTTGTTGTTGTTGACGACATTGTTGTTGTTGTTGGCGACATTGTTGTTGTTGACGACATTGTTGTTGTTGACGACATTGTTGTTGTTGTTGGCGACATTGTTGTTGTTGTTGGCGACATTGTTGTTGTTGTTGTTGGCGACATTGTTGTTGTTGACGACATTGTTGTTGTTGGCGACATTGTTGTTGTTGACGACATTGTTGTTGTTGACGACATTGTTGTTGTTGACATTGTTGTTGTTGACGACATTGTTGTTGTTGACATTGTTGTTGTTGTTGACGACATTGTTGTTGTTGTTGACGACATTGTTGTTGTTGACATTGTTGTTGTTGTTGACGACATTGTTGTTGTTGACGACATTGTTGTTGACGACATTGTTGTTGTTGTTGACGACATTGTTGTTGTTGTTGGCGACATTGTTGTTGTTGACGACATTGTTGTTGTTGTTGTTGGCGACATTGTTGTTGTTGACGACATTGTTGTTGTTGGCGACATTGTTGTTGTTGTTGTTGGCGACATTGTTGTTGTTGTTGGCGACATTGTTGTTGTTGGCGACATTGTTGTTGTTGTTGTTGGCGACATTGTTGTTGTTGTTGTTGACGACATGTTGTTGTTGTTGTTGACAACATTGTTGTTGTTGTTGGCGACATTGTTGTTGTTGGCGACATTGTTGTTGTTGACGACATTGTTGTTGTTGGCGACATTGTTGTTGTTGACGACATTGTTGTTGTTGTTGACGACATTGTTGTTGTTGACATTGTTGTTGTTGTTGACGACATTGTTGTTGTTGTTGACGACATTGTTGTTGTTGTTGACGACATTGTTGTTGTTGTTGACATTGTTGTTGTTGTTGTTGTTGACGACATTGTTGTTGTTGATGACATTGTTGTTGTTGTTGACGACATTGTTGTTGTTGGCGACATTGTTGTTGTTGTTGGCGACATTGTTGTTGTTGACGACATTGTTGTTGTTGACCCCAGGTATGGCGGTGCCGAGTAGGGGCGACGTGGTGGAGCTGGTGAGCCCACGTTGTTGTTATTGTTGTTGACGTAGTTGTTGTTGAGGTAGTTGTTGAGGTAGTTGTTGACGTAGTTGTTGTTGTTGTTGTTGAGGTAGTTGTTGAGGTAGTTGTTGACGTAGTTGTTGTTGTTGAGGTAGTTGTTGACGTAGATGTTGACGTAGTTGTTGTTGTTGTTGACGTAGTTGTTGTTGAGGTAGTTGTTGACGTAGTTGTTGTTGTTGTTGTTGACCCCAGGCATGGCAGAGTTGAATAAGGGCGACGTGGTGGAGTTGGTGATTCTGCGTTGTTGTTGACGTAGTTGTTGACGTTGTATTGACGTAGTTGTTGTTGTTGAGGTAGTTGTTGACGTAGTTGTTGTTGTTGTTGTTGACCCCAGGCATGGCGGAGTTGAATAAGGGCGACGTGGTGGAGTTGGTGATCCCGCGTTGTTGTTGACGTAGTTGTTGACGTTGTTGTTGTTGTTGTTGTTGTTGTTGTTATTGATGTAGTTGTTGACGTAGTTGTTGTTGTTGAGGTAGTTGTTGTTGTTGACGTAGTTGTTGTTGTTGTTGACCCCAGGCATGGCGGAGTTGAATAAGGGCGACGTGGTGGAGTTGGTGATCCCGCGTTGTTGTTGACGTAGTTGTTGACGTTGTATTGACGTAGTTGTTGTTGTTGTTGTTGAGGTAGTTGTTGACGTAGTTGTTGTTGTTGTTGTTGTTGACCCCAGGCATGGCGGAGTTGAATAAGGGCGACGTGGTGGAGTTGGTGATTCCGCGTTGTTGTTGACGTTGTGTTGACGTAGTTGTTGTTGAGGTAGTTGTTGACGTAGTTGTTGTTGTTGACGTAGTTGTTGTTGTTGAGGTAGTTGTTGTTGTTGACGTAGTTGTTGTTGTTGTTGACCCCAGGCATGGCGGAGTTGAATAAGGGCGACGTGGTGGAGTTGGTGATCCCGCGTTGTTGTTGACGTAGTTGTTGACGTTGTATTGACGTAGTTGTTGTTGTTGTTGAGGTAGTTGTTGTTGACGTAGTTGTTGTTGTTGTTGTTGACCCCAGGCATGGCGGAGTTGAATAAGGGCGACGTGGTGGAGTTGGTGATCCCGCGTTGTTGTTGACGTAGTTGTTGACGTAGTTGTTGTTGTTGTTATTGATGTAGTTGTTGACGTAGTTGTTGACGTAGTTGTTGTTGTTGTTGACCCCAGGCATGGCGGAGTTGAATAAGGGCGACGTGGTGGAGTTGGTGATCCCGCGTTGTTGTTGACGTAGTTGTTGACGTAGTTGTTGTTGTTGTTGTTATTGATGTAGTTGTTGACGTAGTTGTTGACGTAGTTGTTGTTGTTGACGTAGTTGTTGTTGTTGAGGTAGTTGTTGTTGTTGTTGACCCCAGGCATGGCAGAGTTGAATAAGGGCGACGTGGTGGAGTTGGTGATCCCGCGTTGTTGTTGACGTAGTTGTTGACGTTGTATTGACGTAGTTGTTGTTGTTGTTGAGGTAGTTTTTGACGTAGTTGTTGTTGTTGTTGTTGACCCCAGGCATGGCGGAGTTGAATAAGGGCGACGTGGTGGAGTTGGTGATTCAGCGTTGTTGTTGACGTTGTGTTGACGTAGTTGTTGTTGAGGTAGTTGTTGACGTAGTTGTTGTTGTTGACGTAGTTGTTGTTGTTGAGGTAGTTGTTGTTGTTGACGTAGTTGTTGTTGTTGTTGACCCCAGGCATGGCGGAGTTGAATAAGGGCGACGTGGTGGAGTTGGTGATCCCGCGTTGTTGTTGAGGTAGTTGTTGACGTAGTTGTTGTTGTTGACGTAGTTGTTGTTGTTGAGGTAGTTGTTGTTGTTGACGTAGTTGTTGTTGTTGTTGACCCCAGGCATGGCGGAGTTGAATAAGGGCGACGTGGTGGAGTTGGTGATCCCGCGTTGTTGTTGACGTAGTTGTTGACGTTGTATTGACGTAGTTGTTGTTGTTGTTGTTGAGGTAGTTGTTGTTGACGTAGTTGTTGTTGTTGTTGACCCCAGGCATGGCGGAGTTGAATAAGGGCGACGTGGTGGAGTTGGTGATCCCGCGTTGTTGTTGACGTAGTTGTTGACGTAGTTGTTGTTGTTGTTGTTGTTATTGATGTAGTTGTTGACGTAGTTGTTGACGTAGTTGTTGTTGTTGTTGACCCCAGGCATGGCGGAGTTGAATAAGGGCGACGTGGTGGAGTTGGTGATCCCGCGTTGTTGTTGACGTAGTTGTTGACGTAGTTGTTGTTGTTGTTATTGATGTAGTTGTTGACGTAGTTGTTGACGTAGTTGTTGTTGTTGTTGACCCCAGGCATGGCGGAGTTGAATAAGGGCGACGTGGTGGAGTTGGTGATCCCGCGTTGTTGTTGACGTAGTTGTTGACGTAGTTGTTGTTGTTGTTGTTATTGATGTAGTTGTTGACGTAGTTGTTGACGTAGTTGTTGTTGTTGTTGACCCCAGGCATGGCGGAGTTGAATAAGGGCGACGTGGTGGAGTTGGTGATCCCGCGTTGTTGTTGACGTAGTTGTTGACGTTGTATTGACGTAGTTGTTGTTGTTGTTGTTGAGGTAGTTGTTGACGTTGTTGTTGTTGTTGACCCCAGGCATGGCGGAGTTGAATAAGGGCGACGTGGTGGAGTTGGTGATCCCGCGCGAGGATTCGGCGCTCAGCCTGGAGGCCGACTCCACCTTCATCGGTGTCATGAAGCTCATGTGACCTCGCGACGGTCACGTGACCCAGCGACGGTCACGTGACCCAGCGATGGTCACGTGACCTCGCGACGGTCACGTGACCCAGCGACGGTCATGTGACCCAGCGATGGTCACGTGACCCAGCGACGGTCACGTGACCTCGCGACGGTCACGTGACCCAGCGACGGTCACGTGACCTCGCGACGGTCACGTGACCCAGCGATGGTCACGTGACCCAGCGATGGTCACGTGACCCAGCGACGGTCACGTGACCCAGCGACGGTCACGTGACCCAGCGACGGTCACGTGACCCCCGCGGCGACGGTCACGTGACCCCGCGATGACGGTCATGTGACCCCACGATGGTCACGTGACCCCGCGACTATGGTCACGTGACCCAGCGATGGTCACGTGACCCAGCGATGGTCACGTGACCCAGCGACGGTCACGTGACCCGGTGACGGTCACGTTACCCCGCGGCGACGGTCACGTGACCCCACGATGGTCACGTGACCCCGCGACTATGGTCACGTGACCCAGCAATGGCCACGTGACCCCGCGGCGCCGGTCACGTGACCGCTCTCACGCCGTGGCTCGCGCGACCGGAGCGTGACCCTAGCATGACCATCACGTGACGGTGGTGTGCCTGTGGGGGTGGCGTGCGTGGACCCTGCCGTTGATCACGTGGTGTGGGGGGATCGTGGGGGGGGGAGAGAGAGAGAGAGGGGGGAGGGGGTAACGGTGTCAAGGTGTAAAAAGTGCACCGAGCCTGGCACCACAAGCGTGGTGACGTCACCGCCACTCCTGCGGTTGTTGTTGTTGTTGTTGTGTGTGAGCGCGTGAGAGTCCACAGGCGTCTGTGTGTGTGGTCTTGGTGTGTAGCGGTTGGCGCTACGAACCCGGCAAAGACTCCCGCTCACGGCCGGTCCTGGGCCTCCCCTAGGTCGACTCAGCCTCAAATTGAGTACCTGGTGTAGCGGTGTGTAGTGAACGTCGCTGGCACTGGGGAGACAAAGGCGGCCGGGCCTGGTGGTGCTGGCCACCCACCCCCTCGTGTGCCACACTGCCGGTAGCCTTCACAGGTGCTGCTGCTCGCTAACAGCACTTGCCCCGAAAAAGCATATCAAGTGCAGATATATGGGAGCGACACGGTGGCTATGAGATGTTGACTCCCTCGCCTGGTCTACAGGAGGTCGTGGGTTCGATCCCGACCTTGACGACGCCTGCTGCTGCTGCTGTGTATCTGGAGTCTGCGTCTCTCGCTCATCCGCATCATCACGGTGGCTATGAGATGTTGACTCCCTCGCCTGGTCTACAGGAGGTCGTGGGTTCGATCCCGACCCTGACGACGCCTGCTGCTGCTGTATATTCGGAGTCTGCGTCTCTCTCTCATCATCATCATCACGGTGGCTAGGAGATGTTAACTCCCTCGCCTGGTATACAGGAGGTCGTGGGTTCGATCCCGACCCTGACGATGCCTGCTGCTATATATTTGAAGTCTGTGTCTCTCTCTCTCATCATCATCACGGTGGCTAGGAGATGTTGACTACCTCGCCTGGTCTCCAGGAGGTCGTGGGTTCGATCCCGACCCTGACGATGCCTGCTGCTGCTGCTGTATATTTGGAGTCTGCGTCTCTCTCTCTCTCGCCCCGTGATCGCGTGGATTCTTCTCCAGGTCCTCCGCTCTTTCCCCTCCACGTTGAGAATGAGCATCGCCGGGCGTCTAAGAATATTTGGCTGCTGCGTTCAACTTTTTAATTTCCACGCGACGATGATGATGACCATCCTGATGATGATGACCATCATGATGATGATGACCATCATGATGATGATGACCATCATGATGATGATGACCATCATGATGATGATGATGATTGATCGTCATCATCATCATCATCGTAAGGCACTTGGGTGAGCTATCATTTGTGGTACGCTTCTGTAATGAGAGCCCATACATAGCAGCCTAATCTGGTGAAGTAAAACGTAAAATAGATAGTGTATGTCGAGGCTATAGGGTGGGGTCTTTGTCAATGCACAGGTGTGAGAGTCGGTGTGATTGGTGGAGGGTCAAGAGTGCACAGACGTGTGTGTGTGAGGGGGTGTACAGGTGTCTCTCACACCTGTACAGGTGTGAGGGGGGTACACAGGTGTGTCACACACCTGTATAGGTGTGTGTGAGGGGGTGTACAGGTGTCTCTCACACCTGTACAGGTGTGAGGGGGGTACACAGGTGTGTCACACACCTGTATAGGTGTGTGTGAGGGAGTACAGGTGTGTGAGAGAGGGTACACAGGTGTGTCACACACCTGTACAGGTGTGTGTGAGAGGGTACACAGGTGTGTCACACACCTGTACATGTGTGTGTGAGAGGGTACACAGGTGTCACACACCTGTACAGGTGTGAGGGGGGGTACACAGGTGTGTCACACACCTGTATAGGTGTGTGTGAGGGAGTACAGGTGTGTGAGAGAGGGTACACAGGTGTGTCACACACCTGTACAGGTGTGTGTGAGGGGGTGTACAGGTGTCACACACCTGTACATGTGTGTGTGAGAGGGTACACAGGTGTCACACACCTGTATAGGTGTGAGGGGGGGTACACAGGTGTGTCACACACCTGTACATGTGTGTGTGAGAGGGCACACAGGTGTGTCACACACCTGTACATGTGTGTGTGAGAGGGTACACAGGTGTCACACACCTGTATAGGTGTGAGGGGGGGTACACAGGTGTGTCACACACCTGTACATGTGTGTGTGAGAGGGTACACAGGTGTCACACACCTGTATAGGTGTGAGGGGGGGTACACAGGTGTGTCACACACCTGTATAGGTGTGTGACACACCTGTACAGGTGTGTGAGAGAGGGAGTACAGGTGTGTGTGAGGGGGGGTACACAGGTGTGTGAGGGGGGTACAGGTGTGTGACACACCTGTACAGGTGTGTGTGAGAGGGTACACAGGTGTCACACACCTGTACAGGTGTGTGACACCTGTACAGGTGTGTGAGAGAGGGAGTACAGGTGTGTGTGAGGGGGGGTACACAGGTGTGTGAGGGGGGTACAGGTGTGTGACACACCTGTACAGGTGTGTGTGAGAGGGTACACAGGTGTCACACACCTGTACAGGTGTGTGACACCTGTACAGGTGTGTGTGAGAGGGTACACAGGTGTCACACACCTGTACAGGTGTGTTAGAGGGAGTACAGGTGTGTTAGAGGGGGTGCACGGCCTACGTAGTCTTTGCGGTTGTTGTTGTTATTGCATAGGGGTTGTTATTGCATAGGGGTTGTTGTTGTTATTGCATAGGGGTTGTTGTTGTTGTGTAGCTACACTCGTACGGTTGTCGTGGTTCGATTATTTTAGACTTTTTGTCTGCTGATATAAATTCCCACGTGGTGTGTGAGGCCGACGACGATGACGACGATGACGACAATGACGACGATGACGACGATGACGACGATGACGACAATGACGACGATGACGACAATGACGATGACGATGACGACGATGACGACAATGACGATGACGACGATGACGACGACGACGACGATGACGACGATGACGATGACAATGACGACGACGATGATGACGACGATGACGACGATGACGACGATGACGATGATGACAATGACGATGACGATGACGACAATGACGATGACGACGATGACGACGATGACGACGACGGCGATGACGACGATGACGATGACGACGATGACGACGTTGACGATCACGACGATGACGACGATGACGACGACGATGATCACGACGATGATGATCACGACGATGGTGACGATCACGACGATCACGACGATGACGACGGTGACGACGATCACGACGATGACGACGGTGACGACGATGACGATCACGACGACGACGATCACGTAGATGATCGCGACGATGACGATGACGACGATGACGACGATGACAATCACGACGACGATGATCACGACGATGACGACAACGATGACGACGATCACGATCCGCCATTTGCGTCGAGCAGCCGTGTGTGGTGGCCAATGGGGTGAGAGGATTCTGCGAGAAGCTCGCGACAGACGCCGCCCTAGCGGCAGCTCGGCGGGGGGCGAGGTGGGGGGCTCAGAGGTTTGTGAAGTGAATAAAAACTTTGACGTGGTGTCAGTGATGTCCCAGCCGTGGGTCTTCAGCTGCAGGTTTACTGGTGGGCGAGCCACACCTCCGGCCATGCCCCCGGGGCCGATCTGTGGAACAGCGGTCTAGGTGGCTCGGTTCTCGTTCCGTGCGTGTGTACACACAGACACACACACACACGCACACAGGTGTGTGTGTGTGTACACACACACACACACGTGCACACGTACATCGGTGAGCTCCTCCGGCAGGCAAGGCTGCGATGGCTGGGTCATGTAGCCCGCATGCCCAGCCACCGCATGCCGAAACAGCTTTTGTTCGGCCGGATCGAGGGGGCTAAACGGGCGCGGCACGGGCTAGAGAAGAGATGGAGTGATGTGGTACAGGAGGACGTGGAGCTGAGTGGACTTGCCGATGACTGGTACCAGCGGTGTCAAGATCGGCCTCTGTGGAGGAGGCTCGTGAAGGACGCTACTGGGCAGTTGGAGGCAGTCGCCCTCCAACAACAACGGAGGGCGGAGGAGCGACGCTCACAACAACGAGCGGAGCGCCGGGTGGCTAAAGCACAGCAGGTTGGCACAGTAGGGGGCACAGGTGGTGCATCAGCCAGTCATCTCAGTCAGTCGACCCGTGGCACCTGGGTCTGCCCCGTGACCTCCTGCCAGCGGGCGTTCGACACTTCACGTGGCCTCAGGGTGCACATAGCCTGGCACAAGCGTCGTGGTGGCGTTACCGCCACTTAGTGGCGAATGGCGGTTGTTATGTACACACACACGTACACACACACAGGTGTGTACGTGTGTGTGTGTACGTGTGTACAAAGGTGTGTGTACGTGCGTGTACGTGTACACAAGGTGTGTGTGTGTGTACGTGCACACACACACACACCTTATGTACAAATGTGTTGACGTCTAGACACACACACACCTTGTGTACACGTACACACACGTACACACACCTTTGTACACACGTACACACCTGTGTGTAGTGTCAGTGTATACACTACACACACACACCACACACATCTGTGTGTGTGTGGTGTGTACACACCTGTGTGTGTGTAGTGTCAGTGTACACACTACACACACACTACACACCTGTGTGTGTGTGGTGTGTACACACCTGTATGTAGTGTCAGTGTACACACTACACACACACAGTACACACCTGTGTGTGTGTAGTGTGTACACACCTGTGTGTGTGTAGTGTGTACACACTGCACACACACTACACACCTGTGTGTGTATAGTGTGTAGTGTGTACACACCTGTGTGTGTGTAGTGTGTACACACCTGTGTGTAGTGTCAGTGTACACACTACACACCTGTGTGTGTGTGGTGTGTGTGTGTACACACCTGTGTGTAGTGTCAGTGTACACACTACACACACCTGTGTGTGTGTAGTGTGTACACACCTGTGTGTAGTGTCAGTGTACACACTACACACCTGTGTGTGTGGTGTGTAGTGTGTACACACCTGTGTGTGTGTAGTGTGTACACACCTGTGTGTAGTGTCAGTGTACACACTACACACACACTACACACCTGTGTGTATAGTGTGTAGTGTGTACACACCTGTGTGTAGTGTCAGTGTACACACTACACACTACACACCTGTGTGTGTGTGGTGTGTGTGTGTACACACCTGTGTGGGGGGAGGGGCGCACCTGTGTGTGTGGTGGTGTGTGGGGGGAGGGGCGCACAGGTAGGAGCCAGGTGAACCAGTTTGTTCCTCTCTGTGTTGAACCTGCGCGCGTTATGCAAATTGGTATGCAAATTAGATGGGCGCGCGCGAGAGATCACGTGGCCCTGCTTTGACTCGGGGGGGGGGGAGGGCGGTGGGGGTAAGTGGTGGGGGGGGTGGAGGGGAAGGTGGTGGGGAGGGGAAGTCGTGGTGGGGAGGGGAGGTGGGGGGGGGAGGTGGTGGGTGGGGGGGGAGGTGGGAGGGAAGGTGGTGGGGGGAAGGTGGTGGGGGGAAGGTGGTGGGGAGGTGGTGGGTGGGGGAGGGTGGAGGGGAAGGTGGTGGGGGGAAGGGTGGTGGTGGGGGGAAGGGTGATGGTGGGTGACCGTAGTGAAACGAGTACGTGATCGGTGACCCAGGGGCGCAGCTTCCAATGTCTACAACACGAGAGAGAGAGGGGGGTTGAAGGTGCAAGATGCGACTGTGTCCCCCCCACTCCCTTCTCCTGTACACGTGGGCCAGGGGATGTTGACTACCTCGCCTGGTCTACAGGAGGTCGTGGGTTCCATCCTGACGCTGACGATGCCCGCTGCTATGAGGAGTCTGCGTCTCTCTCGATCACGGTGGCCCCTCCCCACACTCGCCACCACGCCCCACCCCACACTCGCCACCACGCCCCTCCCCACACTCGCCACCACGCCCCACCCCACACTCGCCACCACGCCCCACCCCACACTCGCCACCACGCCCCACCCCACACTCGCCACCACGCCCCTCCCCACACTCGCCACCACGCCCCTCCCCACACTCGCCACCACGCCCCACCCCACCTCGCCACCACGCCCCTCCCCACACTCGCCACCACGCCCCTCCCCACACTCGCCACCACGCCCCTCCCCACACTCGCCACCACGCCCCTCCCCACACTCGCCACCACGCCCCACCCCACACTCGCCACCACGCCCCTCCCCACACTCGCCACCACGCCCCACCCCACACTCGCCACCACGCCCCTCCCCACACTCGCCACCACGCCCCTCCCCACACTCGCCACCACGCCCCACCCCACACTCGCCACCACGCCCCTCCCCACACTCGCCACCACGCCCCTCCCACACTCGCCACCACGCCCCTCCCCCACACTCGCCACCACGCCCCTCCCCACACTCGCCACCACGCCCCACCCCACACTCGCCACCACGCCCCTCCCCACACTCGCCACCACGCCCCACCCCACACTCGCCACCACGCCCCTCCCCACACTCGCCACAACGCCCCTCCCACACTCGCCACCACGCCCCTCCCCACACTCGCCACAACGCCCCTCCCACACTCGCCACCACGCCACTCCCCCACTCGCCACCACGCCCCTCCCACACTCGCCACCACGCCCCTCCCCCAGACTCGCCACCCACAGCCCCGCCCCCTCGGTAACCCTGCAGCATCAACATCATCAACAGCATCATCATCCGCATCATCATCAGCAGCATCAACAGCAGCATCATCATCAGCATCATCATCATCATGGACCCAGCGACGTCTGTGGAACACAAGAGCTTTACAGCTCACCAGGATTGCCGAGTAAAACATCGTGATTCTGGCGACTCAGAGGACCTTGCTCTGTGCAGGCTACGGCCGAAACTCCACAGCCTCCCCCCGCGATTTATTCTCATGCAACAAGCAACACCGTCATCATCAACAACATCATCAACATCATCAACATCGTCAACAACATCGTCCAGATTATGGGATGCGTTTCTGCTTCTCCGGACAACACAACAGCAGTCGTGTTCACGATGTAAAAAAAAAAAATCACCAAACGGATCGCAGCCTTTTGGCAGGGGATGAAGTTTCTGCGTAAAACCGCACGCGGCACTTTGCGCTGAACACGCAAACATCGCCGCTCTGATCACAATCAAAATCATGATCATGATGATGATGTTACACGCGTTGCCTTCAATAATAATAGCGTAACTATGATGTTGACTTGAAGCTTTCGTGACTGCAGGAACTCAGAATCTCTGTGGGTCTTTCTGCAAAGCCACGTCGATGGAGGGGGGGAAATTTTTTTAAAAAAGTAATAACGGCGACAAATCACACGACGTTTCCATCGTGGCAACACAAAGCATTCGCCATCGGGCGAAAACAAAATACGGGGGAAGAATAGCGAGAGAGCGAAAGCATGGAAGAGGTTATCACGGTAAAAAAAAAAACCTTGGATTGCAAAGCACAATTCCTTCCGGAAACACGCCTGCTCGTCATCCAAATCGCTCGTATATCAAAGCACCCGTGCGTCAGTTGTGATCACGTGACGCTGGGCAGTGCGAAGCGTGTTCACGTTCACTGCTCGTACTTCAAGGCAACCTCGCCCGTTCGTCAAGTCAAGATTCATTTAAACTTTTGGTTTTTTTTTTGGCTCGTCTTGCAAAACAACTCGCGGGGCCGACGTTACTCGCAATCCAAAGGTTTTTTTTTTACGCAAAGTCTGAGATGGGTGCAACCCAAGGCTGAGTGGGCACGGGCTAGAGATGGAATTTGCAAGTGAATGTAAGATCGCAGAGCCAGGTACACCCAGGACATTGTGTTGCTAGAGATAAGCTTGTCAACCTGTTCATGTAACCCCCCTACAGCTACAGTGCTGAATAACCCATTGTGTTGCTAGAGACGAGAGTGTCAACCTGTTCATGTAACCCCCCTAAAGCTAAGGTGCTGAATAACCCATTGTATTGCTAGAGATAAGCTTGTCAACCTGTTCATGTAACCCCCCTACAGCTACAGTGCTGAATAACCCATTGTGTTGCTAGAGACGAGAGTGTCAACCTGTTCATGTAACCCCCCACACAGCTACGGTGCTGAATAACCCATTGTGTTGCTAGAGACGAGTGTCAACCTGTTCATGTAACCCCCTACAGCTACAGTGCTGAATAACCCATTGTGTTGCTAGAGACGAGAGTGTCAACCTGTTCATGTAACCCCCCTAAAGCTAAGGTGCTGAATAACCCATTGTATTGCTAGAGATAAGCTTGTCAACCTGTTCATGTAACCCCCCTACAGCTACAGTGCTGAATAACCCATTGTGTTGCTAGAGACGAGAGTGTCAACCTGTTCATGTAACCCCCCACACAGCTACAGTGCTGAATAACCCATTGTGTTGCTAGAGACGAGAGTGTCCACCTGTTCATGTAACCCCCTACAGCTACGGTGCTGAATAACCCATTGTGTTGCTAGAGACGAGAGTGTCAACCTGTTCATGTAACCCCCACACAGCTACGGTGCTGAATAACCCATTGTGTTGCTAGAGACGAGTGTCAACCTGTTCATGTAACCCCCCTAAAGCTACGGTGCTGAATAACCCATTGTGTTGCTCGAGACGAGAGTGTCAACCTGTTCATGTAACCCCCCACACAGCTGCGGTGCTGAATAACCCATTGTGTTGCTAGAGACGAGAGTGTCAACCTGTTCATGTAACCCCCCTACAGCTACGGTGCTGAATAACCCATTGTGTTGCTAGAGACGAGAGTGTCAACCTGTTCATGTAACCCCCCACACAGCAACGGTGCTGAATAACCCATTGTGTTGCTAGAGACGAGAGTGTCAACCTGTTCATGTAACCCCCCACACAGCTACAGTGCTGAATAACCAATTGTGTTGCTAGAGACGAGAGTGTCAACCTGTTCATGTAACCCCCCCATACACAGCTACAGTGCTGAATAACCCATTGTGTTGCTAGAGACGAGAGTGTCAACCTGTTCATGTAACCCCCACACAGCAACGGTGCTGAATAACCCATTGTGTTGCTAGAGACGAGAGTGTCAACCTGTTCATGTAACCCCCCACACAGCTACAGTGCTGAATAACCAATTGTGTTGCTAGAGACGAGAGTGTCAACCTGTTCATGTAACCCCCCCATACACAGCTACAGTGCTGAATAACCCATTGTGTTGCTAGAGACGAGAGATCAGCGTTGTCAACGTGAGAGACATTCGGCAAATTCAACGACGACCACCCACCGCCACATCGAGGGAAAGGGAGTGGCGGTGGCTTACTATTTTTCCAGCTAAGTGACTTTACCGACAGGCCCAAAGGACTGTTGTGGAACTTGGGTAACGAAACCGATTGGGCCACACCGGAAGCAGCAGTGTCCTTCTTCAGGGCTGCCTCTCAGGCGGACAGTACAAGGGGAATGCCACACGTGGTGCTGGTCGTGGTGGTGGTGTAGGAGGGATTCATATTGTCCACACGTGGTGGTGGTGGAGGTGTAGGAGGAGGGATTCGTTTTGTCCACACGTGGTGGTGGTGGTGTAGGAGGGATTCGTTTTGTCCCCACGTGATCGTGGTGTAGGAGGAGGGATTCGTTTTGTCCACACGTGGTGGTGGTGGTGGAGGAGGGATTCGTTTTGTCCCCACGTGGTGGTGTAGGAGGGATTCGTATTGCCCACACGTGGTGGTGGTGGTGGTGTAGGAGGAGGGATTCGTTTTGTCCCCACGTGGTGGTGTAGGAGGAGGGATTCGTTTTGTCCCCACGTGGTGGTGTAGGAGGAGGGATTCGTTTTGTCCCCACGTGGTGGTGGTGGTGTAGGAGGAGGGATTCGTTTTGTCCCCACGTGGTGGTGTAGGAGGAGGGATGCGTTTTGTCCCCACGTGGTGGTGTAGGAGGAGGAGGGATTCGTTTTGTCCCCACGTGGTCATGGTGTAGGAGGGATTCGCTTTGTCCCCACGTGGTGTAGGAGGGATTCGTTTTGTCCCCACGTGGTAGTGGTGGTGTAGGAGGGATTCGTTTTGTCTCCACGTGGTGTAGGATGAGGAGGGATTCGTATTGTCCCCACGTGGTGGTGTAGGAGGAGGAGGGATTCGTTTGGTCCCCACGTGGTGGTGTAGGAGGAGGGATTCGTTTTGTCCCCACGTGGTGGTGTAGGAGGAGGAGGGATTCGTTTTGTCCCCACGTGGTGGTGTAGGAGGAGGAGGGATTCGTTTGGTTCCCACGTGGTGGTGTAGGAGGAGGAGGGATTCGTTTTGTCTCCATGTGGTGGTGGTGGTGTAGGAGGGATTCGTTTTGTCCCCACGTGGTCATGGTGTAGGAGGAGGGATTCGTATTGTCCCCACGTGGTCATGGTGTAGGAGGAGGGATTCGTTTTGTCCCCACGTGGTGTAGGAGGAGGGATTCGTATTGTCCCCACGTGGTCATGGTGTAGGAGGAGGGATTCGTTTTGTCCCCACGTGGTGTAGGAGGAGGGATTCGTATTGTCCCCACGTGGTCATGGTGTAGGAGGAGGGATTCGTTTTGTCCCCACGTGGTGTAGGAGGAGGGATTCGTATTGTCCCCACGTGGTGGCGGCTGTTGGTTGTTGTTCAGAGGTTAACGGCGATACCAAAAGGGTGGGGGGGGCGGGGGTCACGTGGGTCACACAGGGGGGGGAGGGGGCGCGGGGGTCACGTGGGGGTCGCACAGGAGAGATGGGGTGTGGGGGTCACGTGGGGGGGAGGAGGAGGGGGGGGGTCCCCGAAAAAAAAAAAAGTTTAACAATAAAAAAATCGAACAGCAAAACCTGAAGCGGATTGAACGAGAGGAGCGCGGAGCACGGAGCACCAGCGTTGGGCGCGTTGGCGAGCGTGGTGCGGGGCGAGTGTGGTAGCTTGCTCCGGTCCGGTGTGTGGCGCCGGTGGCCGGTCCCGGTGCGTGTTGGCGGTGGTCAGAGTCCCGGTCCAGTGTCTGGCCTCAATCCGGTCCTGGTGCACGTGTTGTTGGTGTTGGTGGTGGCGGTGGCGGTTGAGAGTCCGGTCTGGTGTGTTACTCTAATCCGGTCCGGTGTGTTACTCTAATCCGGTCCGGTGCCCAACCGCAGTCCAGCCCAGCGTGTGACTGCAGACCCAACGGCGTGGCGGCGGTGGTGGTGGTGGTGGATGCCGGAGTGCGATCCGCCCTGTCGGTGGCGCGCCCTGGGGTTAGTCCGGTCCGGTGCGGTCCGGCGGACTCTATCCCATGTTTTTGCGGTTGCCCCAGCCTCGCCTGTGAGTGTCCTTCCATTCATCCCAATCGCGTGCGCGGCGCAGCGCCTCCTCATCGTCGCCCCCATCCTCTTCGTCGCCGCCGCCGCCGCCCTCCGCATCACCTCCTCCTCCTCGCTCCTCATCCGGAGCGCTTTCTGTGGCGGGCACCGTCAAGGGCAGCACCAACATCATCAGCCTCATCGTCCACGTCATCATCATCGTCGTCATCATCGTCGTGGTGGTTGTGTTGATGGTTGTGTTGATGGTTGTGTTGATGGTGGTGGTTGTGTTGATGGTGGTGGTTGTGTTGATGGTGGTGGTTGTGTTGATGGTGGTGGTTGTGCTGATGGTGGTGGTTGTGCTGATGGTGGTGGTTGTGTTGATGGTGGTGGTTGTGTTGATGGTGGTGGTTGTGTAGATGGTGGTGGTTGTGTAGATGGTGGTGGTTGTGTTGATCGTGGTGGTTGTGTTGATGGTGGTGGTTGTGTTGATGGTGGTGGTTGTGTTGATGGTGGTGGTTGTGTTGATGGTGGTGGTTGTGCTGATGGTGGTGGTTGTGCTGATGGTGGTGGTTGTGTTGATGGTGGTGGTTGTGTTGATGGTGGTGTTTGTGTTGATGGTGGTGGTTGTGTTGATGGTGGTGTTTGTGTTGATGGTGGTGGTTGTGTTGATCGTGGTGGTTGTGTTGATGGTGGTGGTTGTGCTGATGGTGGTGGTTGTGTAGATGGTGGTGGTTGTGTTGATCGTGGTGGTTGTGCTGATGGTGGTGGTTGTGCTGATGATGGTGGTTGTGCTGATGGTGGTGGTTGTGTTGATGGTGGTGGTTGTGTTGATGGTGGTGGTTGTGTTGATGGTGGTGGTTGTGTTGATGGTGGTGGTTGTGTTGATGGTGGTGGTTGTGTTGATGGTGGTGGTTGTGTTGATGGTGGTGGTTGTGTTGATGGTGGTGGTTGTGCTGATGGTGGTGGTTGTGCTGATGGTGGTGGTTGTGTTGATGGTGGTGGTTGTGCTGATGGTGGTGGTTGTGCTGATGGTGGTGGTTGTGTTGATCGTGGTGGTTGTGCTGATGGTGGTGGTTGTGCTGATGGTGGTGGTTGTGTTGAGGGTGGTGGTTGTGCTGATGGTGGTGGTTGTGCTGATGGTGGTGGTTGTGCTGATGGTGGTGGTTGTGTTGATGGTGGTGGTTGTGTTGATGGTGGTGGTTGTGCTGATGGTGGTGGTTGTGCTGATGGTGGTGGTTGTGCTGATGGTGGTGGTTGTGTTGAGGGTGGTGGTTGTGCTGATGGTGGTGGTTGTGCTGATGGTGGTGGTTGTGTTGATGGTGGTGGTTGTGTTGATGGTGGTGGTTGTGTTGATGGTGGTGGTTGTGTTGATGGTGGTGGTTGTGTTGATGGTGGTGGTTGTGTAGATGGTGGTGGTTGTGCTGATGGTGGTGGTTGTGTTGATGGTGGTGGTTGTGCTGAGGGTGGTGGTTGTACTGATGGTGGTGGTTGTGCTGATGGTGGTGGTTGTGTTGATGGTGGTGGTTGTGCTGAGGGTGGTGGTTGTACTGATGGTGGTGGTTGTGCTGATGGTGGTGGTTGTGTTGATGGTGGTGGTTGTGTTGAGGGTGGTGGTTGTACTGATGGTGTTGGTTGTGCTGATGGTGGTGGTTGTGTTGATGGTGGTGGTTGTGTTGATGGTGGTGGTTGTGCTGATGGTGGTGGTTGTGTTGATGGTTGTGTTGATCGTGGTGGTTGTGCTGATGGTGGTGGTTGTGCTGATGGTGGTGGTTGTGTAGATGGTGGTGGTTGTGCTGATGGTGGTGGTTGTGCTGATGGTGGTGGTTGTGCTGATGGTGGTGGTTGTGCTGATCGTGGTGGTTGTGTTGATCGTGGTGGTTGTGTTGATGGTGGTGGTTGTGTTGATGGTGGTGGTTGTGTTGATGGTGGTGGTTGTGCTGATGGTGGTGGTTATGTAGATGGTGGTGGTTGTGTTGATGGTGGTGGTTGTGTTGATGGTGGTGGTTGTGTTGATGGTGGTGGTTGTGTAGATGGTGGTGGTTGTGCTGATGGTGGTGGTTGTGTTGATGGTGGTGGTTGTGTTGATGGTGGTGGTTGTGTTGAGGGTGGTGGTTGTACTGATGGTGGTGGTTGTGCTGATGGTGGTGGTTGTGTTGAGGGTGGTGGTTGTACTGATGGTGGTGGTTGTGCTGATGGTGGTGGTTGTGTTGATGGTGGTGGTTGTGCTGATGGTGGTGGTTGTGTTGAGGGTGGTGGTTGTGCTGATGGTGGTGGTTGTGTAGATGGTGGTGGTTGTGTTGATGGTGGTGGTTGTGTTGATGGTGGTGGTTGTGCTGATGGTGGTGGTTGTGTTGATGGGGGTGGTTGTGCTGATGGTGATGGTTGTGTAGATGGTGGTGGTTGTGTTGATCGTGGTGGTTGTGCTGATGGTGGTGGTTGTGTAGATGGTGGTGGTTGTGTAGATGGTGGTGGTTGTGTAGATGGTGGTGGTTGTGTAGATGGTGGTGGTTGTGTTGATGGTGGTGGTTGTGTTGATGGTGGTGGTTGTGCTGATGGTGGTGGTTGTGTTGATGGTGGTGGTTGTGTTGATGGTGGTGGTTGTGTAGATGGTGGTGGTTGTGTAGATGGTGGTGGTTGTGTTGATGGTGGTGGTTGTGCTGATGGTGGTGGTTGTGCTGATGGTGGTGGTTGTGTTGAGGGTGGTGGTTGTACTGATGGTGGTGGTTGTGCTGATGGTGGTGGTTGTGTTGAGGGTGGTGGTTGTGCTGATGGTGGTGGTTGTGCTGATGGTGGTGGTTGTGCTGATCGTGGTGGTTGTGTTGATCGTGGTGGTTGTGTTGATGGTGGTGGTTGTGTTGATGGTGGTGGTTGTGCTGATGGTGGTGGTTGTGCTGATGGTGGTGGTTGTGCTGATCGTGGTGTTTGTGTTGATGGTGATGGTTGTGTTGATGGTGGTGGTTGTGTTGATGGTGGTGGTTGTGTTGATGGTGGTGGTTGTGCTGATGGTGGTGGTTGTGCTGATGGTGGTGGTTGTGTTGATGGTGGTGGTTGTGTTGATCGTGGTGGTTGTGCTGTTCGTGGTGGTTGTGCTGATCGTGGTGGTTGTGCTGATCGTGGTGGTTGTGCTGATCGTGGTGGTTGTGCTGATGGTGGTGGTTGTGCTGATGGTGGTGGTTGTATTGATCGTGGTGGTTGTGTTGATGGTGGTGGTTGTGCTGATGGTGGTGGTTGTGCTGATGGTGGTGGTTGTGCTGATGGTGGTGGTTGTGCTGATGGTGGTGGTTGTGCTGATGGTGGTGGTTGTACTGATGGTGATGGTTGTGTAGATGGTGGTGGTTGTGCTGATGGTGGTGGTTGTGCTGATCGTGGTGGTTGTGTTGATCGTGGTGGTTGTGTTGATCGTGGTGGTTGTGTTGATGGTGGTGGTTGTGCTGATGGTGGTGTTTGTGCTGTTCGTGGTGGTTGTGCTGATCGTGGTGGTTGTGCTGATGGTGGTGACGGAGAGTCGCTGGTGGCTACTGATTGTTATGGTTGTTGCAGTGTTTGTGGTGTGGTGGTTGAGGTGGTGCGGTGTTGGTTGTGGGGGGTTGATGGTTGCGGTGGTGGTGGTTGTGGTGGTGGTTGTGGTGGTGGTTGTGGTGGTGCGGTGTTGGTTGTGGGGGGTTGATGGTTGCGGTGGTGGTTGGGGTGGTGGTTGTGGTGTGGTGGTGGTTGTGTTGATCGTGGTGGTGGTTGTGGTGGTGTGGTTGTGGTGTGGTGGTGGTTGTGTTGATCGTGGTGGTGGTTGTGGTGGTGGTTGTTGTGGTGGTGGTTGTGGTGGTGGTTGTGGTGGTTGTGTTGATCGTGGTGGTGGCTGTGGTGGTGTGGTGGTGGTTGTGGTGGTGGTTGTGTGGTGGTGGTTGTGGTGGTGTGGTGGTGGTTGTGGTGGTGGTTGTGGTGGTGGTTGTGGTGGTTGTGGTGGTGGTTGTGGTGGTCACCGATGGTGGTGGCGGACAGGCCCTGGTCTGGCAGCATGCCCTTGCGTAGATGTTCCTCATACCACTGCTGCACGGACATGACAGGGCGTGCCGGGTAGCCCAGCCCCAACACCCTAGCCGCGTCACACCACAACATGTTACACACAACACACCGCGTCATACACACAACACGCCACGTCACACCACAACATGTTACACACAACACACCGCGTCATACACAACACGCCATGTCACACCACAACACGTTACACACAACACACCGCGTCATACACACAACACACCACGTCACACCACAACACGTTACACACACCACACCGCGTCATACACACAACACGCCGCGTCACACCACAACACACCGCGTCACACCACAACACGTGACACACAACACACCGCGTCACACCACAACACGTTACACACACACACCGCGTCACACACACAACAACCACCATTCAACAACCGCCATTCGCCACTAAGTGGCGGTGACGTCACCACGACGCTTAAGCCAGGCTATGTGCACCTTGAGGCCACGTGAAGTGTCGAACGCCCGCTGGCAGGAGGTCACGGGGCAGACCCAGGTGCCACGGGTCGACTGACTGAGATGACTGGCTGATGCACCACCTGTGCCCCCTACTGTGCCAACCTGCTGTGCTTTAGCCACCCGGCGCTCCGCTCGTTGTTGTGAGCGTCGCTCCTCCGCCCTCCGTTGTTGTTGGAGGGCGACTACCTCCAACTGCCCAGTAGCGTCCTTCACGAGCCTCCTCCACAGAGGCCGATCTTGACACCGCTTGTACCAGTCATCGGCAAGTCCACTCAGCTCCACGTCCTCCTGTACCACATCACTCCATCTCTTCTCTAGCCCGTGCCACGCCCGCTTAGCCCCCTCAATCCGGCCGAACAAAAGCTGTTTCGGCATGCGGTGGCTGGGCATGCGGGCTACATGACCCAGCCATCGCAGCCTTGCCTGCCGGAGGAGCTCACCGATGGGACCTTGCCCAGATCTTTCAAGGATTTGTGAGCTCCCCACACAATCCAGTCTGGTTAAACCCAGGATGGATCGTAGGCAGGCCAGCCTAAATGTTTCTAACCGGCGAAGATGTTCCATTAGGGGGGGGTCTACGTTTCGCAAGCGTAGAGAAGGGATGGAATGACCGTGGCCGAGAAGACCTGAAGCTTAGTGCGGAGCGACAGACCAGGTAGCTTCCACACAGCGTTACGCAACCGATGAAAAGATATTGCCGCTCGACTGATTCGGAGTGAGACCTCTGCTGTTAAACTGGAGCCAGTCATAAGCACACTGCCCAGGTATGGGAAACTCTCCACTCTCTCCACAACTGCCCCATCACTGATTGGGAGTTGTGGGGGTGGAGTGTCCGATGGTACAAAATACCCAGGCAGGTGCTTAGTTTTGGTGGGGCTGATGGTAAGGCCCCACCTCTTAGTGGCACGCTCCAGTCTCAGCAGCAGCGTCTCCAACTCCTCCTCTGAATGAGCAGCTATTACCAAATCATCAGCATACATAACGTGGTTGAGCAATAGGGAGCCATCCCTTGACCGCACCTGGGCATCGATCAGCCTCCCATTATATCTGTACCATATGGAGATTCCCCCGGTACAGCTATTGAAGGCTTCACGAACTACGTGGTCAAAATAGATGTTAAATAATGTGGGAGCCAGAGGACATCCCTGTCGCACCCCAAGGTGTACAGGGAATGGCTCCGACTCCCAGCCACGTAGTTTTACCCGGGCCCGCTCACCATCATGAAGGTCCTTAATGATCGTGAGCAGAGGGTCAGGTACTCCAAAAGCACGAAGAACAACCCAGAGCCCAGGCCTACTGATGGTATCATAGGCCTTGACCAGGTCAATAAAGCAGAGATGTAGGTCTTGTTGGAATTCCCTACACCTCTGCTGTAGCAGACGGATAGAAAATATGGCATCTGTGCAGGACCGTCCTTTCCTGAAACCGCATTGGGGCTCTGCAAGCCTCTCCTCAGCGTGCCTGGCAAGGCGATGTTGAATAATCCTTGCCAGGACCTTTCCCGGCACACTGAGGAGTGAGATGCCCCTGTAGTTGTTATAGTCTATGCGGTCCCCCTTCTTAAAAAGGGGGACCACCAGGGCATCCTTCCAATCCTGCGGAACCCGTCCAGTGGTCCAGACCGTTGTTATGATGTCATATAGGGCAGTCTGTGCACAAACGCCACCCTCCCTCAGCATTTCGCTTGGGAGATCATCTCTGCCCGCTGCCTTTCCTCGTCCCTGACTCCGGATCGCCTTCAGTACTTCCTCAACAGATGGCACCTCAGCCAGCCACTCACAGGGGGTGACTTCTTCCAATATTTGAGGCACCGCAGCCTCAGCAGGGTCATCCTCACTTTGTGCCACGATGTTTTCCTGGCTGAGGGATTTTCCCTCCCCCAGGACCTCACAGAAATGCTCAGCAAATCTGCAAACCTGTTCCTGGGGGTCGGAGATTGGATCACCGTTTTTTCCCCTAATGATGGTAATAGGTGTGGCGCTGCAGGTTACTTTTTTGATGGAGTTAAATAGAGATTTGTGATCACGGGCCACTGAGGCAGACTCCATCTCCTCAGCAACCCGCGACCACCACCCATCCTTGCAGCGCCTCACGGCTCTCCGAACCTCCGAGCGAAGGCTGCGGTAAGCCTCCTCATTCTCTGACGTGGGATTCTGTAGCCGATGACAGTGGGCCTGTCGCTTTTTCTCAACCATCCTGAACACCTCCTCTATCAGCCAGGGTCTCTGGGGAGGTCTGGACCGCGTATCCAAAGCAGCCATTGCAGCTGCATGAGTCACAGTCCTAAACCTCGCCCATTTACCCTCGACATCAGGAGGAGTCGGGGACGATGCCAATCCCAGTCGCAAGCGATGATGAAATTCTCGCTTGCAACTTTCATCAGATAACTGAGACCAGGCCACTTTAGGTTGGAATGGGGTCCTGGGTGTACACCCATTACCGGAGTGGAAGAATGGCAGGCGCATCTTACAGATGACTAGTCGATGGTCAGAGGGCAGATCAGCTCCATGGTAGGTCCTGGTGTCAAGGACATGGGCTCGCATCCGCTGGTCCGTCACTATGTAGTCCAGCAGATGTTCTTGCTTGGACCCGGCATGCATCCATGATGTTGTGTGGATGCGCCGATGCCGGAACAGCGTGTTGGTAATTACAAGCCCATGGGCTGCACAAAAATCTAGCAGCCTCCTACCGTTGTAATTGAGCTGATCTGGCCCATGCCCTCCAATCACTCCAGACCAGGTGCCAGTATCATGACCAACTCGGGCATTGAAGTCACCCAACATGACGACTCTATCCCGAGGGGCCACTTTGGCCAGCACCTGTGACAGGAGGTCATAGAAGGCATCTGACTCATCGGCTTTGCCTGCATCCCTCCACGGATGTTCATCTTCGGTGGGGGCATAAGTAACCACGACCACCATTCCTCGCCTCCGGTTGATGGGAAGGCGAGCCCAAAGTAGCCTGGGGCTTACAGCTTCCCACACCTCACCGCCACGCTCCCACGCCCCCTTCATTCTTTTGTTCAAAAGAAGACCCACACCCTGTTGTTTGGCAGTCTGCTGCCCCGAGTAGAGGACTGTCCACCCCTCATGGTGGCAGGAGCCAGAGCCGGTCCACCGGACCTCCTGAATGCCACATAGAACCAGGCGGTACCGGTCCAGCTCCCGACAGAGGAGTGGCAGCCTCTCCACACACACACACACACCACGTGACACACACACACACACCACGTGACACACACACACACCGCGCCACGTCACACACACACACCGCGCCACGTGACACACACACACACACACACACGTCACACACACACTGCACACACACACCGCGCCACGTGACACACACACACACCGCGCCACGTCACACACACACCGCGCCACGTGACACACACACACACACACACGTCACACACACACCGTGCCACGTCACACACACACGTCACACACACACACCGCGCCACGTGACACACACACACACACACACACGTCACACACACACACACCGTGCCACGTCACACACACACACACACGTCACACACACACACACACCGTGCCACGTCACACACACACACACACACGTCACACACACACACACCGTGCCACGTCACACACACACACGTCACACACACACACACACACCGCGCCACGTCACACACACACCGCGCCACGTGACACACACACACACGTCACACACACACACTGCACACACACCGCGCCACGTGACACACACACACACCGCGCCACGTCACACACACACCGCGCCACGTGACACACACACACACACACACGTCACACACACACCGTGCCACGTCACACACACACGTCACACACACACACCGTGCCACGTCACACACACACACACACGTCACACACACACACACCGTGCCACGTCACACACACACACGTCACACACACACACACCGTGCCACGTCACACACACACACACACGTCACACACACACACACCGTGCCACGTCACACACACACACGTCACACACACACACACCGTGCCACGTCACACACACACACACACGTCACACACACACACCGTGCCACGTCACACACACACGTCACACACACACACACACGTCACACACACACACCGTGCCACGTCACACACACACACGTCACACACACACACACACGTCACACACACACCGTGCCACGTCACACACACACACACACACACGTCACACACATCACACACACACACACGTCACACACACACACACGTCACACACACACACACGTCACACACACACACACACACGTCACACACACACACGTCACACACACACACACACGTCACACACACACCGTGCCACGTCACACACACACACACACACACGTCACACACATCACACACACACACACGTCACACACATCACACACACACACACGTCACACACACACACACGTCACACACACACACACGTCACACACACACACACACGTCACACACACACACACGTCACACACACACACACACACTGCACATCGTCGCTCACACGCCCACCCACCTGCTCTGTAGGGCATTCCTCGTGAGCACCAGGGGCTGTGTGGGGGGTCCGTGGGGTCGCGGTGGCCGAGACGGCGCCCCCACCTAGGGTCACAGGGTCGTCACGGGGTCGTCACGGGGTCGTCACGGGGGTCGTCACGGGGGTCGTCACGGGGGTCATAAAGTCGTCAAGGAGTCACAGGGTCGTCACGAGGGTCGTCAAAGGGGTCGTCAGGTCGTCACGGGGGTCATAAGGTCGTCAAGGAGTCACAGGGTCGTCACGGGGGTCGTCAAAGGGGTCATAGTCGTCACGGGGTCACAGGGTCGTCACGGGGTCACAGGGTCGTCACGGGACCACAGGGTCATCACGGGGTCACAGGGTCGTCACGGGGTCACAGGGTCGTCACGGGACCACAGGGTCGTCACGGGGTCACAGGGTCGTCACGCGGTCGTCACTGGGGTCACAGGGTCGTCACGCGGTCGTCACTGGGGTCACAACGGGGGTTACAGGGCAGGCCACGCTGCCCCACCCACTTCCCGCGCTACCCGCCCGGCCCGCCCGCCTGCTGCCCCGCCTGCTGCTGCCCCGCCTGCTGCCCCGCCTGCTGCTGCCCCACCTGCTGCTGCCCCACCTGCTGCTGCCCCACCTGCTGCCTGTGCTGCCCCACCTGCTGCTGCCTGTGCTGCCCCACCTGCTGCTGCCCGTGCTGCCCCGCCTGCCGCCCCACCTGCTGCCCCGCCTGCCGCCCCACCTGCTGCCCCACCTGCTGCTGCCTGTGCTGCCCCACCTGCTGCTGCCTGTGTTGCCCCGCCTGCTGCCCCGCCTGCTGCCCCGCCTGCTGCCCCACCTGCTGCCTGTGCTGTGCGTGCTGCAGCAGGGGCAGCTCGCTGGCGATGGAGTCGAGGTCGTCGAGGCAGCGCGCCGCCCACTGCTGCAACTGCAGCAGCAGCTCCTCCCGCAGGCGCTCCTCGCCACCCTCGCCACCCTCGCCACCCTCGCCGCCCTCGCCACCCTCGCCACCCTCGCCACCCTCGCCACCCCCGCGCAGACCCCGAGCTCGCAACGCCGCAAGACGCTCCTCCGCATCCTTGCGAAGGCGGTACCTGTGTGGGGGGGGGTGGTGGGGGGAGGTGGTGGGGGGTGGTGGGGGGTGGTGGGGGGTGGTGGGGGGGAGGTGGGGGGAGGTGGGGGGAAGACGCGGGGGGAGGGACGTGTGGTGGGGTGGGGAAGGCGTGGGGAGATAAAGAGGGGAGACGTTGGGGAGATTCAGGGCGGACGCAGGGGACATACAGGGGAGACATGGGGGAGACATGGGGGAGACGTGCGGACATACAGGGGGGAGACGAGGGGAGAGACATGGGGGAGACGCGGGGGAGAGACATGGGGGAGACGCGGGGGAGAGACATGGGGGAGATGTGGGGAGAGACATGGGGGAGATGTGGGGAGAGACATGGGGGAGATGGGGGGAGACTGGGAGAGACGCGAGGGAGACGTGGGGATGGGGGTGATATGGGGGAGACCGGGACGTGGGAATGATGCAGGGAGACACGGGGGGTAGACACGGCGGGAGACAGGCGGAGAGACGCAGGGAGACACAGGGAGACACAGGGAGACACGGGGGTAGACACGGTGGAGAGACACAGGGAGACAGGCGGAGAGACACAGGGAGACAGGCGGAGAGACACAGGGAGACACAGCGGGAGACACGGCGGAGAGACACAGGGAGACACGGGGTAGACGTGGTGGGAGACACGGCGGAGAGATGCGGGGAGACACAGGGAGACACGGCGGAGAGACACAGGGAGACATGGGGGTAGACGTGGTGGGAGACACGGCGGAGAGACACAGGGAGACACAGCGGGAGACACGGCGGAGAGACACAGGGAGACACAGGGAGACACAGGGAGACACGGCGGAGAGATGCGGAGAGACACAGGGAGACACAGGGAGACAGGCGGAGAGACACAGGGAGACACAGGGAGACAGGCGGAGAGACACAGGGAGACACAGGGTAGACGTGATGGGAGACAGGCGGAGACACAGGGAGACACGGCGGGAGACGGGGACACGAAGACAGCGAGACGCGGGGACACAAACAACGAAGACACGGGGAGACATCTCCCCCCCTCCCCCACTTCTCCCCCACCACCTGCACCTCTTCCCGTACCTCCTCCTCCTCGTCACCAACAACCTTCTTACCTCTTCCTTACCTCTCCTCCCCTCTTCGCTCAGCAGCCCTCTCACCTCTTCCTCCTGCTCACCCTCCCTCCTCCTCACCTCCTCCTCACCACCTCCTCACCACCTCCTCACCACCTCCTCACCCCACCGCCCCCATTCCCTCCACCTCCTCATTCCCTCCTCACCCCACCGCCCCCCTTCCCCCCACCTCTTCCTCCTGCTCACAACCTCCTCACCACCTCCTCACCGCCTCCCTCCACCTCCTCCTCCTCACCACCTCCTCACCCCACCGCCCCCCTTCCCCCCACCTCTTCCTCCTGCTCACACTCCCTCCTCCTCACCACCTCCTCACCACCTCCTCACCACCTCCTCACCACCTCCTCACCACCTCCTCACCACCTCCTCACCCCACCGCCCCCACCACCACCACCACCACCGCCAACTCACCTCTCTATTTTCGCCCTCCTCCGCTCGGCCATGGCGGCGAGGTTCGGCGGGCCGTTGATGACGGCGGCGATGTCGCCGCCGTCGTCGCCGCCCCGCCGCCGCCCCTCCTCCCTCACCTCCTCCTCCTCCTCCTCGTCGTCGTCGCCGCCCAGCGTGGCTCCGCGCACGCCGTAGTCGCGTGCCCGCCGCAGGTAGTCGCGGTGGTAGCGGGCGGAGCGGCGGAGCGCGTCGGCGCGGCCGGCGGCGGCCCCGCGGCACGAGCGCTGGGCGAGCGAGCCGAGCAGCGCCGGCAGCAGCAGGTAGCGCAGGTCCCTCGTCGACACCTCCTCCAGGGACTCGTTGCGGCTGGGGCAGGGCGGCGGCGGGCGGAGGAGGAGGAGGAGGAGGGGGAGGTGAGGAGGCGAGCGGGGCCATGAGCGGGAGGAGGGATAGGAGGGGCGGGAGAGGAGGATGACAACGAGGGGGAGGAATTGGAGGGGGAGGAGGAGCAGGAGGGGGGAGGAATAGGAAGGGGAGGAGCAGGAGGGGAAGGAGAGGGACGAGCAACAGAGGGAGTAGCAAGAGGGGGAGGAATAGGAGGGGGAGGAGGAGGAATAGGAGGGGGAGGAGGAATAGGAGGAGGAGGAATAGGAGGGGGAGGAATAGGAGAAGGAAGAGGAGGAACAGGAAGGGGAGGAAGAGAGTCGGGCGATGAGGGGGAGGGAGAGGAGGATGCGGTAGGGGAGATTAGGATGACAAGGGGGAGGGAGTAGAGGATGGGGAGGATGGGGTGAGGAGGATGAGGGTGAGGAGGATGAGGGTGAGGAGGATGAGGGTGAGGAGGATGAGGGTGAGGAGGATGAGGGTGAGGAGGATGAGGGTGAGGAGGATGAGGGCGAGGAGGATGAGGGCGAGGAGGAAGGGGTGTTCTGGATTTGCTCTCCAATGCACAACCGGTTAGTGCTGTACTAGTAACAAATTGTAAATGTTGCAGTGGGTTTAACTCTCCAACACACAGCAACCGGTTAGTGCTGTACTGGTAACGAATTGTAAATGTTGTAGTGGGTTTAACTCTCCAACACACAGCAACCGGTTAGTGCTGTACTGGTAACGAATTGTAAATGTTGTAGTGGGTTTAACTCTCCAACACACAGCAACCGGTTAGTGCTGTACTGGTAACGAATTGTAAATGTTGTAGTGGGTTTAACTCTCCAACACACAGCAACCGGCTAGTGCTGTACTAGTAACGAATTGTAAATGTAGTAGTGGGTTTAACTCTCCAACACACAGCAACCGGTTAGTGCTGTACTAGTAACGAATTATAAATGTTGTAGTGGGTTTAACTCTCCAACACACAGCAACCGGTTAGTGCTGTACTAGTAACGAATTGGCTACGTTCTGTTTACGTGACAAACCCCTGATTAATTGACTGTGTTAGGTGATGGCGGGTTTAACGACACATTTATATTTACGCGATTTAACCCGAAAAAAAACTCCCTTATATTATGAATGCAATCATTATTCCTATTATTACTCGTTACAGTTAGGCCCGACCACCCGAGCTCGCCCGCTCGCCCCGCCGCCCACGACGCCCCAAGCCCGGCAGCGCCTTCTAGGCAAGCGCACCCTCCCCCCTTCTCCCCACCCACCCACCGCCGGTCACCTGAACAGCTGTAGCTCGTTGACCATCTCCGTGGCGCGCTCGAGAAGGGCGATCGCCTCGAGCGCCCGCGCCTGCGAGGCGCCGTCCGCCGACTCCTCGCCGCGCTCAAGCTCTTCGTGAATGCGCCAGCCTCGCTCGAAGGCCTCGCTCAGGCCCGGTCCCGGAGCGTCAGCGGCCATTGCTCCTCCCTAAACACCCTCGCACAGATAAGCTCCGCCCATGTTTAAATTAGCATAACTGGGAGTGGCCATCAAAAGTTGCTCCTTTCTCCCGCTGCCTCACACGTTGGGGATAGCCACGTCTCTTGGTTGAGGCCCCGCCTATTTATAATAATTTGCATAAATAGGCGGGGAGATTTTCGGATTTTCTCCGCCCCCTAGGCTCAGGCCAGCACATTTCACGATGAATTTACATAAAGGGGCGGAGCATTCAGACGGTGTTTTGACCCCCCACACCAACGCTTCGTTAAGTCCCCGCCCACATTAAATTATATTTGCATATTGGAGGTGGAGTAAGTGGACGCTGGTCACGCCCCTACCGTGGATCGGGCCAATCGGAGCGATCGCTTCTGCTCAAGGTAATCAGAACGAGAATCCGATGAGCTATAAAGCTCTTTTTTTAATGTCCAGTTAAGTGGGGGCACGGGGTGGTGAGAACATAATAATAATAAAAACCCACAAAGTGCATTCGTCAATTAATAACTGTGCGTGTGGCATTAACAGAATAAAATATGCAATAAGGTGACGTTTCGTGGCACCTGTGAAGAAGAGCTTTATAGCTCATCGGATTCCTCCTGGAGCGTAAATGCAGATTCTCATTCTGGGCACAATGAAATGCTGTAACAAATCTGTATATTTCGGTCGTGACGCGACCGCTTAATGATCCTGACGTCATTACGCAGGGGCTTCCAACGCTAACAACGCACAGTGGTGCGGAGTTGCGACGTCATCACGCCAGTCACGTGACGTCATCACGCACGACTGGTTTCACGTCATCCCCCCCCATGTGAGTTTTTTTATTTTATAAACTGGCGCCAGCGGGTGGCAACGTCAGAACTCGTGACGCAATCACGTTACGATTGAGACGTAATCACGCACGGTTTTCCCCAGACCGTATGACGTCATCACGCCAATCGCGTGACGTCACCACGCATCAAACTCGTGACGTCAGACCGCTTGACGTAAGTCATGTTACGATCATGACGTCATCGCACTCTCGTTTTCACATTGTTTCGCCTTCAATGGCATACTAGGACGTCATCGCGCACGTCTCCATAACGTCATAACGCACGTTCCGTCAGAACGCAATCAATTTACGATCGTGACCTCATCCCGCCCGGGTGTTCTTGTTGTTTCGCCTCCAAGGTGTGCAAGTGACGTCTTCCCGAGCAACCGCTGATGACGTCATTAAGTCTCGAATGTTTTATTCCTGCGCATCGGACGACGAACATTTTGGTCGTGACGCAATCACATTACAATCGTGACGCACTCCGTTTTTCTTTTTTCCCATTGTTCCGCCTGCAAGGCGTGCTAGGACGTCATCGCATATAACCCCCCCGATGACGTCACTTACGTGTTTAAAACATTTTTTCGCGAGATCGGACGGCACGAACCAACACGGTCGTGACGTAATCATCTCACAAATGTGACGTCATCGCGCCGAGGTTTCCCCCGTTTTTCCTGCAAGGCTTGCTAGCGACGTCATCGAGTACAACCACCGATGACGTCACTTACGTCTAGTTTTTTTCCCGCGAGATCGGACACCAAATAATACCGGCCGTGACGTAAAAATCCCGCGATCGTGACGTCATCGCGCCTAGGTTTCCCCCGTTCGGCCTGGCAGCGTGCTACAAACGTCATCGCGTACAACACCCTCCTCGATGACGTCATTACGCGTACAACAACCCTCCTCGACGGAACCAAACAATACGCATCCGTGACGCAATCACGTTCGCAAAACGTCATCCCGCTGGGTGGGTGGGGAAATTGTGTGGCGGAGACGGGGGGGGGGCAAGGGTGTTCGCTCTACGCGTGAAACGATCCGGTGACGTCATGACGCAACATGCCCCACCCCCACCCCGTGCGTGACGTCACCACGCACGTCGTTCCACGCCTCAGTTAAGCGCCAAAGGAGATAAGCGACGCAGTGAATTATTATTCGTGGTCATTGTAACGATAACAACAACATCGGCGTTAAATATTTCGTGAGGTAAATTTAGTGCCGAAACAAACACACACACGCACGCGCACGTATATATATTTAATATACACGTATACATAGAGAAAATATTTATTCATAATATTTTTTATTTTGCAATCAACATAACGGAGGAGCATCGAACGCCACGCGCATCTAAGTCGGTGAGTTGGCGGCGGTTTGCGAGGTTAATTCATTTAAACTAAGCCACAATTAATCAATTAACTGATTGGTTTAAGACGCGCCGAGCCCCCGTGTGCATCTCTGTGGTGGTTGGTGGGGGTAGCACTGCTGTACGGTGTGAAAGAAGTTCTACACACACACAGCACGGTTGACTACGTACGGTGTGAAAGAAGTTCAACACACAGCACGGTTGACTACGTACGGTGTGAAAAAAGTTCACACACAGCACGGTTGACTACGTACGGTGTGATAGAAGTTCACACAGCACGGGTGACGACGTACGGTGTGATAGAAGTTCAGACACACAGCACGGTTGGCTACGTACGGTGTGAACGAAGTTCACACACACAACACGTAGCACTACGTACGGTGTGAATGAAGTTTAACACACACAGCACAGTTGGCTACGTACGGTGCGATCCCGACCCTGACGCCTGTTGCATATTTGGAGTCTGCGTCTCTCTCTCATCATCACGGTGGCTAGGAGATGTTGACTACCTCGCCTGGTATACAGGAGGTCGTGGGTTCGATTCAGACCCTGACCACGTCTGCTGCTACTGTGTATTTGCGTCTCTCTCTCTCCCTGTGGTGAGATGTTAACTACCTCGCCAGGTATACAGGAGGTCGTGGGCTCGATTCAGACCCTGACCACGTCTGCTGCCGCTGTGTATTTGGAGTCTGCGTCTCTCTCTCTCATCTTCATCGCGGTGGCTGTGAGATGTTGACTACCTCGCCTGGTATACAGGAGGTCGTGGGTTCGATCCCGACCCAGACGACGCCTGCTGCTGCTGCCGCTGCTGCTGTATATTTGCGTCACTTTCTCTCCCCGTGGTCACGTGGATTTGTTTATCTGGTTACATTTTGACCATTCGAGCAAAGGTTCCGGGTTTAACGCTCCAACACAACACACGTGCTCGTGCCAAACTCGTAACGAATTTGACAACACTTTGTTTACGTGACAAAGCCCCTAAGCTGCTTGGCCGTGTCAGGTGGTGGCGGGTTTAACGACACACAAATCATAATTCACGCGCCCTAATGGAAACAAACCTCTCGCATGGATAATATTGATCGCGAGAACCCTCCCATTACCGAGTGTTAAACCGATTTTAAAAATAATGTGGTGTTATGATCATTGTCACGTGTTTCATATTGTATGTCTGTGAGTCTCTCTCTGCTTGTGTGTCTGTCTATGTGTCTATGTTGTGTGAGTCTGTCTGTCTCTGTGTGAGTCTCTCTCTGCTTGTGTGTCTGTCTGTGTGTCTATGTGTGTGTCTCTCTGTGTGTCTCTGTGTGAGTCTCTCTCTGCTTGTGTGTCTGTCTGTCTATGTTGTGTGTCTCTCTCTGTGTCTCTGTGTGAGTCTCTCTCTGCTTGTGTGTCTGTCTGTGTGTCTCTGTGTGAGTCTCTCTGTATGTCTCTGTGAGTCTCTCTCTGCTTGTGTGTCTGTGTGTGTCTATGTTGTGTGTCTCTCTCTGTGTGTCTCTGTGTGAGTCTCTCTCTGCTTGTGTGTCTCTCTCTCTCTGTGTCTCTGTGTGAGTCTCTCTGCTTGTGTGTCTGTCTGTATGTCTATGTTGTGTGTCTCTCTCTATGTGTCTCTGTGTGTCTCTCTGTGTCTCTCTGTGAGTCGCTCTCTGCTTGTGTCTGTCTGTGCGTGTGTCTCTCTGTATGTCTGTCTGTGTGTCTCTATGTGTGTCTCTCTCTGTATGTCTCTATGAGTCTCTCTCTGCGTGTGTGGCTGTGTGTCTGTGTGTGTGCGTCTCTCTGTATGTCTCTATGAGTCTCTGCGTGTGTGTCTGCTGTGTGTCTCTGTGTGTGTGTGTCTCTCTCGACTTGTGTGTCTGTCTGTCTGTGTCTCTCTCTGTGTCTCTCTGTGAGTCGCTCTCTGCTTGTGTTTGTCTGTGTGTGTGTCTCTGTATGTGTCTCTCTCTGGTCACGGCCAACACCAGTGACGATTATCTGAACCGGTCCCGGGCCTCCCCTAGGTCGACTCAGCCTCAAATGAGTACCTGGTGCGGTGTGTAAACATTGCCACTAGGGAGACAAAGGCGGTCACGCGTGGTGCTGGCCACCCACCCCCTCGTGTACCGTTCCGGCCTTCATAGGTGCTCGCTAACAGCACTTGCCCCTACAGTCTGTTAAGGCTATATGGGGGATCTTTATCTTTGTCTCTCTCTGTATGTCTCTGAGTCTCTCTCTGCGTGTGTCTGTGTGTGTGTCTCTCTGTATGTCTCTATGAGTCTCTCTCTGCGTGTGTGTCTGTGTGTCTCTCTGTATGTCTCTATGAGTCTCTCTCTGCGTGTGTGTGTCTGTGTGTCTCTGTGTGTGTGTCTCTCTGTATGTCTCTATGAGTCTCTGCGTGTGTGTCTGCTGTGTCTCTGTGTGTGTGTCTCTGTATGTCTCTGTGAGTCTCTCTCGACTTGTGTGTCTGTCTGTCTGTCTGTGTGTCTCTGTGTGTCTCTCTCTCTGAGTCGCTCTCTGCTTGTGTCTGTGTGTGTCTCTCTCTGTATGTCTCTATGAGTCTCTCTCTGCGTGTGTCTCTCTCTGTGTCTCTCTGTGAGTCTCTCTCGACTTGTGCGTCTGTCTGTGTGTCTCCGCGGCTGTGTTTTGTCTCTTTCTCAAATTTAGCATTCTTTAGAAGAACGTTAATCAACCAGGTAGGGTGTTGACTGTTGTGTTAGCCGACTCTGTGTGTTGTATTGCATTCCATTTCTTAGTTTGCTATGCTTTCTCATTCCTTCGTACCTGATGATGGTTGCTTGTGTTACAATCGAAACGTCGTATTCTATTATTATTAAATTGATTTTCTTTCTGCGTGGCTTCACCGAAAGAACCAAAGAGTATGGAATGGTATTTGGTGGTAGTAGTAGTAGTATTATTAAATATACAGCAGGCATCGTCAGTTGTTAGGATCGAACCCAAGACCTCCTGCACA